AATTAAAAAGAGCGGAGAGAGATCCCACACATGCCAATACTTCCAAAAATATCTATCCAATATTAAAAGGCCCAGGAAGAAAACTTATCAATTTAAATTTACTAATATTTCAGATACCTCATCTATTTCGGATGCGGAGCAGAAATAAGAAACATAACGAACAATTTAGGCTAGAAAATTATAGTAGACAGTATCTTATATAAGGAGCTTGATTCAAGAGAAAATCGAATACATTAAATCTCATTCTCAAAAGACTCGCAATAAGAGAGGACTTTTTAATGGCATAGGCTATGTAGTAAAAACAATAACAGGAAATTTAGACTCCGACGATGGAGAACGTATTGATAAAATTTTATCTCATTTACAAGAAAATCAGCACCATATTCAAAATCAGCTGAGAATGCAATATTCAGTAAACAATGAACTTGTCGCAAAGTTTAACGGGACTATTCAAGATATACAGCACAACGAGATGACATTAAGAAATAACATTTTACAATTGAAACATATTTTATTGAACCAGACAACAAACCAGGATATTCTTTCAGCGAAGGACATTATCAATCAATTAATTATCCTTTATAATGCCATATTGAATATTTTACAAGATATCGAAAATTCGATAACTTTTTGCAAATTCAAAACCATGCATCCCAGTATAATAAGGTCCAGAGAATTATTTCAAGAACTCCGTAAGATATCCACATTTTATAAAAATGAATTATCATTTGAAGTAAAGTATGAAAATATGCTAGATTATGAATCTATTATTTCTAGCAGTTGTAAAATCGACGAGAATCAAATAAGTTATTTTCTATCGATTCCTATAGATTAGCCTGAACATTTCGATCTTTATTATATGTTACCTATACCGACTCTGATGCACAAATCAGAATTCGTCACTATTATCCCAAATTATGAGTATTTGCTAAAATCTGATCGAAATGATGTCAAACCCCTGCACGAGATTTGTATCCAAGGTAGAATCTATCAATGCCCTAATCGTATATTAGCCAATCACAAAGCCCAATGCGAGAAGTCAATAATTACAGAAGATCATACAGAGCCATGTAGATACACGAAGCTTCAGATTGAAGAAAATCACATTGAATTTATTCCCGAAATTAACCAGTATTTAGCTGTATTTCTCACCGAAGAAAAAATGAAAATTAAATGCAAGGAACAAATCGATACAAAGTCATTACTTGGCATTTTCTTAGTCAAAGCCAGTGAATGCCAAATATTATTCCAAGACAATGAAATTATCTTTCAAGACAAAACCTATGGAAAGCCCCTCGTAGCTGACAAAATGGATTTCCATTTTATGAAACAAAATATCCCAGAGACACAAATTACTCTGAAAACGTTAAATTTACCAGAATTACAAGTTAATCGAATGTTACCAACCCAGTATTTGGACCATATTACTATATCTCGTATTTTCAAGCATCTGCTGCACAATTTTATATAGAAGATGGAGAAACAAGAAAGCTTCCAAGTTAGAAATCGACATTGAATTAGCCGAGATGAAAGAAGAAGGTCCAAGTCCCACAAAACGCACTAGAAGAGAAGATTCCAGTTCAAGATATAAGAAGAAAGAAATTCACCTTCCAGGGGAAGTTTCATTCTAGGGGTGGAGGAGTTATATACCAGTCTATAGAGAAGAATATGCTGAACAAGGACTTTTGCCTCCACGTTCCTTTCTTATCAGTTTCAGTATCGTATTTCATTTGTTCTTTACTTTGGTTTGTATAATGATCATTGTATTTGGTTATTCTCAAAAATAAATCTTTTTAAAAACGTTTTCGTTGAAGAAAGATATTTGAGTTATATATATACGGGGTGACAAACACGCTGTATTTTTTTTAGCAAATAAAGATATCGCTGCAAGACTGGGACATGTTTAGTTAGTCATTCAGATACATTTCTGGAAAGTTGAATGGGTTATCTCTCCCTTCCGGTTTAACCAGAAGTGACCTTGACTTTCATTTTTCAAACGGAAACCTTTCTATTTTCTTCCATAATCATACTGTATGCAAAATTTCCTTTCCAACGATATGTCACAAGTGATATCTTCGGTTTAAAATGGCGGCGCTATAAAGGAATTTGTGAATAACTGTCAACTAACCATGTTCCAATCTTGGAGCTATATCTTTATTTGCCAAAAGAATACAGCATGTTTCCAATTTTCATTGTTACCCGTAATGCACTATGTATTCAAAAAGTTCCGAGACTATTTTTTTCAAAAACATACAGGTAGCGCGATCTATCGGACAACGGCTGAAGTCCATGGACTGATGTTTCGTCGACCGACTGTAGTAGTTTCATTACGTAGACGCGAATGCGAGGCGTGCAAACCAGTGAAAGAAGTTAACGTGTTAAGACCTGTTGTCACGATTTTTAAAATGGAACAAAGAGCGTGCGGAAAAATGCATCAGAAACGTTTCAAATGATGCAAACTGCAGAATGGTGAGAGTGTTTGAGTCGATCGAAGGTATTTGCGTGGTTTTCACAATTTAAAAGTGGACGCGAGTCGTTAGAAGATGATCCGCGAGCAGGTCGACCGCCAACCAGCACTACGGAAGAAGAGAATAATAATAATAATAATAATAATAATATGCCTTTATTTTACCTGGCGGGTGTATCAGCTAATAGCTGCTTTTGGTACCAACCAGGGCTACATAAGTTTAACAAACATAAAAAAAAAAATCACAGATACAAAAAAATAATGATCAAGACATATAGTACTGAAAAGTGACAAATACAACATAATATTGTGTAAAATGTGAAGACAGATTTAAATCACATTCACTCACACACTCACTGAAACAGAAATAATGAAAAAAAAAGACCACAACCAGACACTTAATGTAGAATCACAGCAGATACAAGATGAAAGCTTAGTTTAGAATTAGGTATTATCGAGAACAAATTGCTTTATTTTAACTTTAAAATTATTGTTACTCAAACTTTTCAGATCTGATGATAGACAATTATAAAGGGAAGGCGCTATGTATGAGAAGCACTTTGTGAATGAATGAATATAGATAGAATTTTTCTAACCTCTCGACCACGCTAGCATTTTTAGGTTATTCCAAAATGTAAATTTGAAAAGTTTAACGAAAATTTATCTAATTAATTGTTGTCCAAATCCTTCTGCAGTGGAGTAGTAAAATACAGTCATGTTGTTGCATCGTTTTTTGACGTAGATCCAGTTTTTGATCACCTTACCATGTGTCCTCTTTTACATTTTTTAACATCAAATACTAGCACCATTCTCACTGACGGACTCCTGATGATGGCAGCATAGTCTGTCGAAAGCTTGAGTATTGTAAGTCAAAAGGGTACACTTAGCATAATTTGTCGATATCCCAAAGAAAAGTCTTCCATATCTTCCAATCTAGCAGAATTGTGAGAATCCAAATTTTTTTAACAACATGGCTCAGTCAAATGTCAATTACTCATATTCTCTTTTTAGTCTTTTTGAAAAATACGTTCAAAAGTTTTTTAATTGTTCAGCATTAAATAATAGTGACTGCTGTTCACTTGAATCTAGCTTACGAAAATTTGTTTTACCCGTGGTAACAATTTTCAGGCTGTATACAGCAAGCGAAATTCGATAAGAAGAGGATACCACAAACATTGCTGACAAACACTTCACATATCTTAACAAAATTTCACTTATGCTCAGATACAAATATTTTATAAGCAATGCTTGATACCTTTTACCGTAAAATTAAATTTTCTGTAATCATTACTCAGTTCTAGACCTACGATCAGATGCAAAGAAGACTACATAATACAACACCAAGTTGCGCCACCTGTTATGCAGTATATATTGCCTACTAAGGCCATTAGTCAAACTGACAATCTTCACATAAGATCTAAGAAAAATAATAGTAGCGCTTAAATTGGCTACACCTAAGAGGTCAAAGGAAATGTCCCTTTTTGTTATCTAGCAACAAAAGTGCCTTTAAGTAAGATAATACATCATTGTCAATAAATGATAGTAAAAACGGTTGGAGTTACAATCCTTGTTAAATGAGAAAAAAATGAAAGATTTACCTTACACATGAAGTTAACAGAATGATTTCAGGTCTGGCATAACCAGAAGATGACTTGTATTTATAAAAAATAGGTTTCCAGGATACAAAGGTATGCAAATACAATTTTATTAATTAGGAATAAAAGCGAAAATAGAAAAATGTTTACTGTAAATCTTAATAAAACAGCATTAAGTCTGAAAACTGTATGTAAAAAACATTCAAGTTATACAATTTCTTACTCATTCTTCATACACTATAACTGAATTCATTGCCGGTGTCAGATTATAATCCCATCCTTCTTAGATGCCCTGTATAATTTCTAAATTTTTATTCACCATGATGTTTTCTACTCAGAAGCATTTTCATTTTTAGGCAGCAAAAAAGTCCCATACAAATTGAGGCATTGCCATTCGCTGTCTCTATACGGGTGCCATATCATTATGGAAAATTATTTTCCCAAAGATAAAATTGACTTTTGTGTGAGACAGTTTAATGATCGATAGTAAAATAAATAAAAAAGATTTCGAGCTACGTCAAACAGAAATGTACCAAAAAAAGTTCTGCTAGATACCAGTGAATTTCATTAATAACAACTCCTCGTTTTAAAGTAAAATTTGTAGTACCCTATCATCAAAAACCAGTGAAATCTGACAAATAATTTTATTGTCGTACATCTTGCACTACTACTTTCCTTGCCGTGACTAGCACTCGGCATCTTAGCCTACCGATACTTGGTATTTCTAAATAAATAAATATAACTACTATAAGCACCACCTATTTCTACAGAAACGTTACTGCGTGATATAACGTAAGCTCACGTGACAAAGTTTTTTCCATTAGTCAATTTTGTCCTACGAGAAACATTGTATTGATTCTTAGAGGATATGAAGATTGTTACTATCTTTCTTGGTACTCCCTATACTGCACAACACGTGGAGATGCATGGACACTCACGGTGGGCGGCGCCGAGAAGGCGGCGGACAGCTGAGAACGCGTAGAGGAGCGCGTTGACCGCTTCCTGGATAGAGGGGCGCTGTATTGCCGGTGGAGACCCCTCTGTGGGTGCTGTTGTGTCACCGCAGCCTGAGAATGCTTGTGGATAGCTGCGCTCATGTCACTCTTCATCGCAGTGCTCAGCAGCTGGTACAAGCACACACCAACCGTCATGCCATCACCGACGTTGCCAGATTTTGTATATTGCCAGAGTGGTATGAAGGAATAAGAATAGAAATCGGGAACATTGACCGTTTTATAGAATTACGATAACAGATTTTATGGTTTTCGTGTCATGTGAGTGCCCATCGGATGAAAGTTCCGTTGGTGATAATCTTAATTTTATGTGTTCGTAAAAAGTAGAAGTACGTCTAGTCATTTGGTCAAAGTTTTCCTGCGGTACATTTTAAATCTTTGTAATTCATGTTTCGGGACGTTGTAACTTGGGTCCACCTTGTTAGTATACAAGCTGTGACTTTAAATGTAACCATCAAATTGTTAAATACTTGATATTGTCAGCATCACAGGAGTACAGCCGTACCTATTTGGACATTAGACATTGTTTTTCACACCTACAGAATTCGCATCCACCAAGGGGAGGTTCGCAAGGGTATTGAGGTAAGGAAATTTCGAAATGACAATTCTCGTTTAATACCGAACTAAATCGTGTAATATTACGGGCCGAAACTAATTAGGTAGGTGACAATTTACAGGTTTTACGAAAAACTTGTTTTTATAAAGCTAAAAAAAACACCCGCAAGCAAAAATAATTTTTAAAACCTGCAAGTTGGTACCTAGCCTAGTTTTTAGGGCCCTACGCGGGAAATCACTCAATTTAGTCCAGTAAAAGATAATTGTAAGTTTGTAGTTGAATTTTTCCTAACAATACCCTGCGAAACCCGATTTGTACTATTCAACATGTTGCGGTGCATGATACCCAGGGCTGCAACGAGATCTTCTTCTATTTTTACCAAATAACGAGTTTAAACTTTTATTCTACCTTAATTTTTACGAGTACAGTTTAGCAAGGCCACAGTTGCAGTGTTCTAATATTAGTGCTAGTTGAATCGCGCTCATATCTATTTCGCTTTTATGGTGTTTGCCGGTAAGATTCTACATGACTTCTTGTTGAACTGCATCAAGGTGGTCACGTCTACGCATTTTATAATTTCACAGATTTTTATTAGGTCACATTCGATTTCGAAACAATTTTTTTTTGTTTCCAATATATTTTGTTAACAACTTTTCACTTCGGTTTGGAGTAAAAATGCCTCACAGTCACAAAAATTACCTATCGAAATCAGTATCTGCAATGCTTTTTCCAAGTATCACTCAATTTTCCTAATTTTTCACTCAACCACTGTTTTTTCAATTTCATGACTTCCCTGCCATCCATCTTGCGAGACCACTCTGCTTATGAAGCTTTTTGACCCATGATACTAGAATGGTGCAGCTCTTGATATGATTCTAAACTATTTTCTAGATACGACTCGGAAGTATGTCCTATTGTTATGTTGATGTGCTAATAAATGTGTTAATCAAAGCTCAACGGTTAAGGTAAACTCCCAGGAACCTCTAAATGGGAGAGCTTCTTAAATGATCTATATGCTAACTAAGTGGATATGAGTAATCACCTTTTCCTAAGTACAATCGAAAGTGATGTCGGTGTCTCTATCTAGATATGGCGTAACATATTTGGCCACGGGATCAAGACAAGATTTTTATCCGTCAAAGTGAATATGTTTACATTTTTAACATCTTAGCTAGTTTGTTTTGGAAGTGTATCCTTTCCTTTGTGCTATTCGTTATTATGTGTGCGCTCGTGCTTGACTCCGCCCCATTACGCCGTTTTGAATAGCCAAAGGGTTTCGATGGTATCCACCTAACAAGCACGATGATACTAACTATACCTGATTTCCTATGCAATAGTGTATGTTAACTTCCCTATTTCTAGTCTTATTGTTTCATCCACTTGTCTGGCAACGACGTTTTTGTCTGCAGTGTCATCAGATAATGAAGGTGTGAGAGATATTTGGATTAAAGACATAACGTTGCAGTTTAAACGGATCATTTTTCCAAATCTCATTTTCAAGTAATGGCTTCCGATTTTAACGGTTACACTTATTTATACAAATGGTCATGGAAGTTTCCTAGTAATCCAAGCAATCCGCGAAGATTATCGGTTTACATCTGGCAACACCGCAGACATGAAATTTTTGATGCTTACACTTCTAAAGGAAAAGGAGCAAACCGGTATGCGGATTTTATCAAATCCAACAGGGACAGTTATATTATTCTTCATGTAGTGGGGCGTCATAAGACATAAAAATATCAAAACCTTGGATCTCGGTTCCACTGAATGAATTTTCGTGAAACCTTTTTGATTGCATTGTAAAATTATTTTCTAAGCCACTGACTTTTTCAAACATCTGTTACATTTTTGAATAAGGTGTTCAATTTTGCATGACTTGAATCTGTTGAGAAAATTCTATTAGACAACTCTTTTCGGTGAAAAATGAGTTTGAATGTTTGAGGTAAAATCCGTTTAATAAACCTTCACCCATTCTACTTCTGAAGTACGCTTAAATTAGAGAAATTTGACGTTGAAAACTGTTTTTAGTATGTTAGGAGGGCAATACAATTCCACCATAGCGTTACCTGAACAGTATTCATTCTCCTTAGTGACAGCAAGACAGAAATTACAACACCCAGTATCTTGGTAACGGAACATCTTAGGACTTATGTTTATAGGAACTTTTTTTAGAAATACTGCCTACCATCAAGTCACAGAGTTTAATCTAAATTACTCAAGTAATTTAAGAGAAATTAAAAATATCAGGTTTTGGAGAAATAAACAGGACACCCTGAATATAAAGAACGAAGGCGTAAAATACAAGTCAGAAGGTATATTATGGACCTAAATAATCTTATATGTACATAAAAAACAAATAAAGAATGAAACGAAAATTCAAAGCGAAAAAACTTTTCAGTATAAACGCATTCTACTAAAACTTGCAAAAATACATCCAATAAAACCGGGTTCCAAAATTAAAAGCCTGTCCAGTAAGTAACACATTCTCAATAAATATTGCATGACTGACTTACTATACGGACTATATTTGCATTAGTTAGATTTTGCGTGAAACTTGGTCAAAAAACAAAAAACTCAACACTAACCGCCCACAGGTAATGATTTGGTAATAGTAAAGAAGTAGTGTACCTGAGAGCTTCTAGACTTAAATAACATTTACTAATGTAATATGTAAGTGTTCAAATTGTAAAATTAGAAATAAAATAAAAATCCCAGTTGAAAATGTTGAAATCCTATGGAGACAAGCATCAAGGGGTTACAAACCACAAACGCAATCTATTTGTCTGAACCAGTCTCTAAAAATATAAGTCGGTTCAATACCAACCACCATGCCTGATACGTCAACAGATCAACAATGCCTTGGAAGATTATCACAGACAAGAGATTAAACATACTTTTTGGGACAAAATATTGTTCACCCACATCTATTCCTACATATCAAGTCAAAACTAAATCTAACGTGCAACCATGTACTAGTATCACACGTATCAGACAAAAAATAACCATTCCCTGTAGGTATATGTGTAATTTTTCCTTTATAATCCTCAAATTTTACTCATTCGTTATGATATATAGCTAGCAAACCCAGGATTTAGATTGTAACTGAATCAAAATAATCTTACTAAGTTCAAATTCCGAATCATAAAAAGTAATATGTTGGAAATTAAAGCCTCGAAATACCTCGCCAATATCAGGTTTATTTGTACCCCTTTTTCTATCATCTTCATCTATTGTCTGCTCTTCAGGTAACAAGTCGATGTCATCATCATCATCCAGGTCATCAAACATGTAGTAGTCGCCAGATCTGATAGCTATATTTGAAAAACAAACATTCAATTTCCCAAATAAAAATAATTTGTAGAGGTAAGAGAGGAACACTCAACATTAGTATCATTCTGTCGCTTCAATATGATTAGAAATATTGAGATCTTTAGATGTATATCCAAGTGTATTTTGGTAAACCAGATTATAATACAAACTTTTTTTTTTCACTGGTTCATTATTTTAATAGATTTCCTATTTTGTCTTAATAATACTATAATAAAAACCAGTATCTAAAATTTTATCTGGATGGCTCCAATTCGTATTTCTTTTATGACAAACTAAAAATTGTTTTGTACAGTTCATCACTCATAAAACAAGTATCCTAACTAACATAGGAACAAGATATTTATTTGAATACATACTTAAGTGGTAACCAAATATTGAACTACTTGCTCGACAACAGTTCAGAGCCAAATAATGTCAATTACGACCCTGTGGTTTGAGTATGATTTAGTTGAGTGTATCCTTCCCCCATATTGGAACTGAAAGCTAACATGTACTTTCTATCAAGCAGGTGCGGACAAGCAGTAAAGATAATTAAATATCGACTTTTCATGCTAATAAATTTGAAGTGATGTGAGAAAAATTAAGTAGTGATGGGGGGTAATCTGGAAAGCTAGAAGTAGAAGACGATAGTTTGGTTGGGGGTCAAGTCTAAAATTATAAAAATACAACGGTGTCAGTTGCTGATCAGCTGATTACGTCAAAACCTGATGAAGTTGTGAAAGATCGATTACCTTTCTATTAAATCTGTATTTTCCACGTCCATTGCTGGTCACCTGTTCACGTCAATAAATGTAAAAAGTTACAAAAAATAAGATATCTCTCTATTAAATCCACCTTTTTCCCATCTACATTTGTCAGTTTGACCCCCAACCACTCAAGCGCCGCCTAGCGGGAGCCAAATTGGACATTGCTGTAACTGCGGTATATTATTTCAGGTAATAAAAATAAAATGTGAAAAAAATCAAGTATTAAGTTGAAGTATAATTGAAATGTTAAGCGCTGTCTTACATTATGGAATTATGCCTCGTAAGCGCGTTCTACTGGAAAGAAGATTTTTATTTGCATGTCATTCGTTGGGTATTAGAAAAAATGCAAAGGGAATGCAGAGGTACTCATAATGATAGAATAATGTACTACAATAAGAAAATCATAATCCTAAAAGTAGAATTACTGTGAAAATAAATATTATATCAACCGTGAAATTACTTCTTAATGAGTTATTCCTACAATGTAAAGTGAGTTTACAAATATAAATTACATTCAATAAAAAAAAAAGATTACCCTGCTTGTTGGTAACTGGCGGCTTTATCCTATACTTTCGTCTACCTTTTACCGAATCTACAAAGCAAAAAAATAAAAACTAATTTTTTTTTCAGTGTAAAAATTGTCCCCAAAAAATAATACACATATATACAAGTAACACATGTTCTAAATCAAAAATACACTTGTCGAAGACTCGGCAAGTGGCATTCAACTGTATAGTTGACTAACTAGAAGAGAAGTTATTCAGACCAAGTTATTACAAATATTGATTCAATTTGATCGCTTGATTTCTGGCATCATAAGTTATTTTAACTGGCCCTAATAACGTTCTCTGTTTTGTACAATTCATTGCAGGTAGAAGTAAATACAACTAGAATGTCTAAAAAACGCTACTGGATGATTAATTTGATAAATGAATCATATTATAAATATTCAGACAGAAGGCATTGCAAATGATAGCGTTCAAATAAACTACAGCTCACTTAAATTTGTTTACAAACATTTTCATCTATGTAACTTATGGATCTCTGGAAGTTTTGTTGACTACGTTTTTCCTAACATGCATTTTTAATTTTATCTCGACATTGTTTTAATTTCACTATTGCGATTCTTGAACGAATATGGTGGAGAAATTGTTGAAAAACCTATTTAAGAAAAGTATGGCTATGATCTGTTATTGAAGTAGATTAAAATAAACCACTCAACTGTATTTGCTACAATTCGGTTTTACTCTCTCGTCCCGGCACACCTGCAACTTATTTGTAGGTTATGATTAAAACTGAATTGAATTATGCAATGGTCGAGCCATATTTGTATTTTAGATAATTTTAGTGCCAAGACTATCAAATCAATACTGAGAACTTTGTTTCTACAGGGACAAAAGAATAGAGGTTTGCCAATGGCTTTTGACTTGATAAAAATATTAATATACCATGTGTGGGTTCTACAATTCACCTACTTAAGATACACATATGTAATTATGTTTGCTATAGTTTAGATTCAAGTTAGCTTTGTTATTAAGTATGATTGTATTCTTCAGGCAATAAAGCATATTTATTTGTTTATACCCAATAGGTTTTTTTAGACATCCATAATTTGGCCACAGCACTCTCATCCAAACCTGTAAGAAATATACACTTCCAAATTGATATAATACGAATAACCTCTGAACCTCTGAAACATTGAAGACTTCTTGCATTATGTACAAAAGTACAGTAGAAAGGTGATTTATTTTCCAAAAAAAGGTGAAGAACTATGAATTGTGGCTATTCGCTGCATCGGATAAGTAGAAATGGCGGTGCTTAGTCTATGGCGGCATGGCGCGTCCTGGTTGAGTTGCGACTTTTTGAAAGATAAATTCACTATTGGAACGCATGCCCGCTAAATATCAAATGATTTAAGCTGGCCGTATATCTTCAATTTCTTGGAAGTCTGTAGATCGATTTATTAACCCGAGTTCTACACAGATCTTTTACTGCAATTGTCATATGTGTAGCTTCTGCCGAAACTTGAACTAAACAGCAACGAAGTGTATAATACAGCAACATAATCTAGGTGTTACTCTGCCTATAGTACAATGCGACACCAACGAACATATCCAATTACATTCGTGATGACTCAACGGCGATCTAGAGGAATACGAAATGACACTCTGCCTGGGCGTCTGATAGGTATGCGGCGGCATCCAAGGCGGGCCAATACTATCTCTCCTTCTATCTGTAGCGGTAGTGGTTGACGAGGCCGCGCCCAATGCGGAGTAAGGCGGAACTGGATTGGACACGGCGCGGCCTCCAGTAGTGGGCGGAATCAAGATGTCAGAGGAGGCGTGGTTATATGGGGGCGGGGAGAAGACTGGGAAGCTGTCATCTGGAGAGGCTGGTCTGAAAAATTTGAAACCGAGGCAGGTGGAGTGTTAGTGGGTGAAGGAGAGAGAACCTAGAGATGAACATTAGGATGTCATTACTTTCGAAATTACTTTTAATGATAGATGTTTTATTTGCAAGTCAAAGAATGTTTTAACTTGAAATGTGCAAAAACATAAGAGGAGTGTCCGAGAAGTATCCGACCTGCGTTCATATCTTCGTGCTCGAGCGGCATCTGCGGGTGTGACCGTCCCTCATGAACTCACTGAGCCGTAGCGACCGGCCGGACGCCTTGAGTCGCGCGCAGCGTGTGTTTATGTTCAGAGTTTTTTGCGTTCGTCGCATTTGAATACATTTGAAAGTGGCAGAAAGAACAGATCAACGAATTTGCATTAAATTTTGCTTCAATCTCGGTAAGAGTTGTATGAAGTCAATTGAAATGATAGAGTCGGTAAAAATGGCCGTTGACAGTGACCCTCGTTCTCGCCGACCTTAGCTGACAATATCGGAAAACATAGAGCGACTTGCGATTGAGAGGTGATCATCGACTGAATGTTCGTGAACTAGAAAATGGGATCGAAATACCGAGAACTACTGTAGGGGAAATTTTGAATAAGTGCGGAATTAATTCCAAAATTTGTCACGACTGAACAGAAACACCTTAGCTCTGGAACTTGAAAATCGTCAGTGATGATGAAAACGTCTTTAAGAAGGTTAATACTGGTGATGAAGCATGGGTTTATGATTACGGTCCTGGAACCAAACAACAATCTTCACAGTGGATGCCACGGCCGAAAATTTTTTTTCGATTGTGAGGGTGTTGTGCACTATAAATTTGCTCCAAGAGGTCAGACGATCATCACAGAATGTTACGTTGAAGTTTTGAAAAGATTGCGTGATGTCGTGAGAAGAAAACGACTGCGTTTCTGGTAAAGCGGTGATTGGCTTGTTCACCATGATAACGCGCCTGCACATTCATTGAACCTTATGCAGCAATTTTTGGCGAAACACAAGATTGTACAGCTTCGCCAGTCCCGATTTAGCCCCCCGTGACTTTTGGATGCTCCCAAAATTGACAATGGCGCTCAAAAGAAAGCGGTTCGACGACTGAAGGCCATTCCAAAATGCGTTCGAGGACTGCTTTGAGATGTGGAGGCACCGCTGAGAGCGTGTGGGTCAATCAAACGGTGTCTACTTCGAAGGATGCCGCGGTCCGGATGACGAAGATTAGCACCACAGAAAAAGATATGAACGCAGGTTGGATACTTTTCGGACACACTTCATTTAGTGTGTTCTAGGTCTCATTGTAACTATTTTTGGGAGTGGCAGATCATTGGCTTTGTAACCGAAAACCTCTCAATTCTTCTATTTAGCGCAGTTTTAATAACTTCGCAGTGTCCTAAACCCTTACAAGCATGATATATAGTCTCCTACCTAAGTTGAAGTGCAACGTCCAATATCCCGATACTACAACTGTGCTTTACAAGCATGATATATATAGTCTCCTACCTAAGTTGAAGTGCAACCTGTCCAATATCCCGATACTACAACTGTGCTTATTTTATTTTAAAATATTATTTTTCAACCGTTAATGATCACTTTCATATTAATAATATTTTTAGGGATTTTATTTATGTATAGATCTACAGAACAAAAAATCTGACATTATTTGTCATTTGTTGCTTCACTCATTGAATTCACACGAAGTTAGTTATACTTTAATGGTGATATTATTATAGTAATGACTTTCCTAATGCTCACCGCAATCACCCATACCCACACCCCACTACCTTGGATTCAACTCGCTATTAGGTGGCGACGAGAAGGACAAACGCTGTGGCTCCAGATATCCTTCCAGCGACACCGTCATCACCGCAGAATAGGGTGAAGGTGGAGCTTGTTGTCCACCGGCACTGCTTGTCATAAGGGATGACGCGGTTGGAAAGGGAGCGTCCTCCTCCTCAGCCTCATCCTCGTCATCTTCAACGGGGGTGTGATAACCGGCGCCCGGTGAGGCGGTGCTGCAACTGGCTGTTGACGTTGAGTGAGCTAAAGGCGGTGCCCCTCGCTCAGATGCAGCTATGAGGGAATTAACAGTGATAACATAGGGTAGTTGTGATGAATTTTGGATCTAGCTACTCGTAAGGAATTTCTACATAATGCGATAGTTTTTACATACCTATGATGTATTGATGAAACGCAATATTAATTAATTCCATTATTTAAGTGTATATGGTGCTTTTCAAAACGCCCCCTCCCCTACTTATTTTTTGAACGGGTTAAGTTAGCAAGCTGAAATTCGGGATGATAAAATTGATGCATGAACTGTTGAAAGTTTCAAGATAACGGCTGGAAGGCAGGTCTGAACATTTTTTTAATGTGGACGGACATCTCACTTGGATAAAAGAAAACATTACAAAATAATTATCTTTCGAAATGGCGGATTGGTAATCTGCCAAAGTTGGGGGTTTCTGTACATTGAATCTTTTATAACTCAAGAACTAATAATTATCAAAACGCTATACATACTACAACTGAATTGTAGCTGCAGACGAAATTTCTCTAAAAAGTTACTACAGTGCAGCACTGTTGTCAGATGTAACTTTACCCCATTTTCGCCAAATTGGAGTGGTGTAACAAAAACTACAGATGTTGATCTTAACATTCGGATCACCTTTGCAATGTGGTACATTTGAGAAAGGCGGTGCAACCGGACATAACCACCCCCCAGAACCTATGCCTTAAGTCACCAATTTCTTGTTAGCATTTTCAATATCATGAAGGAAAGAAATGATTTTAAATACGCTTTTTATCTTTTGTAAGTGCTAATAGTGGGTGAGAAATTCATAACCAGCTGAGTCTGCAAACAATCGACTATTTGTAAGGATACACATAACATATTATGCCTGAAAGAAAATTATATATCATTTTACTTTAAAAATCACCTCCAAATGTTAAAATTATGTTACACATACGAGATGTATCACATGAATTTATGGGAAAGGTTAAAGCTAGGATGATTCAATACTGAGTTTAAAACATTATTTTTTTTACATCATCAAACGACTCAACAGTGACAACCTTTCTGCCCTTTAAAAATTATTTCTTTTAACCTTGAGCAATAACAAAATTAGCAAATGCAAATGTAAGGTTATCTTTAAGAGAGAAAAATGGGAAATATTACATAAGATAGGCGGTGTTAAATGGAAGATTAACAGAAGAATTGCAAGGTGAGTTTAAATGCTAACTAATAACGTACATACCTACCATATTATTGCGAGAAAGTTCAATAATTCTATTGTTATTACACAAATTATTATGACAAATGACTGAAATACTCTCGTTACCTTGAAGTTTTTGTTGATTTGCCTTTATCCTGTCCATTTTCATTTTAATTTTTTCTAGAACACGATGTTCTTGCTCCTCTTGGTTATGCACCATTTTCTGCCTTATTTCTTCTATCAACTCAGCACCTTCAAGGGCAAATCTGATTTAGCAATCATCTAATAGCAAATAAAAATAACTTGTTACCTCTAGATGCTAAAATGGTGGTAGCTTTGCATTCGTCCACAATATGGAAAAAGTTGTAGCTATGGAAAATTCTCCTCTGCATGATTAATAGTCCGAAACATAATCCATCCCAAGCTATACCTATGAACTCTCTCGGTACAGTGCAGTATTCCTAATAAAGCAGGTTAGATTTGAGTTGATACATTTTAAAATAGGTAATAACAGGAAATATTTTAAAACCACGATTTAAGATGTGAGTACGAAGAAAAAGAAACTGCTCAAGCATAAATATAATATGTAAGCAGACGAACACAGGCTACTTAATAATTGATATCATCCAGAGCGAGTGAACCGTAATAAATCTTGCTTAGACAGATAAATGTTTCATCATACACATCTACTCACATATGAGTAATACTAACTCTTGCTTCTGGAATGGAGTAGATCGACTACGTATTACAACATCAGAAGCTAACGTGCATGTTGGCCCGGGGGGCCGCCAGTAGCAATATAAATACATCCGGTTTCCCTACGTGCATATGACGTGTGCATGTACTCCACGTGCCAGGTAAGAGTTTCGCAAGTATTCACTTTAGACCTTAGTAGAAATACTCGTTGTTCATTTATCTTTATGAACGGGTTCTATTCAATGTCACTATTCCATTAGTTATCTAGGAATTTTTGAATTGCGCCATGCGTAGTTTTGTTGCTCAATTAGTAATATTAGATTTAATTATTTGATTTTCTCAATTTGCTTATTTTTCTTAATTATTACACTGAATACGGTTAAAATGGTATTTTATTATTCTGTCTTTCTACTACCAGCCTAAACAAAATCTATCGTTTCGATATATTTATAATCAATAATGGCGGTTATAGCACTTGAAATTTATCCTGTAGTTTTCATATTGGTAAGACTCCATTGTATGGCCGCGAGTTCAAACCATATATGCTTCAATCACCAATTACCACGGTGGCCGAGTCGTCGTACAATGTATGTAAATGAAATGTAAAACTGTATGTGGTTTGAATTAGCAACCAGACTACTAACGGCTACGTTTACTCCGGTAGCTAACCATAGGACTGTGCATTAACACCAATCTGTGATAAGAGATGGCACAACACTACTTCATTTGCACCATGTGCTATATGCTATACCAGAGCCGTTTTCCAGTGCTTTTGAATTGAGAGTCGTATGCAGGAGTGTGACGCTCCCGAACTGCTCTAGCAAATGTGCATGGAAACGCGACGATAAAAACCTAACCTGTTTTTTGATGTTTTGCTTTGACGTTGACAATTTGTACCACACTGCCAAACAAGAAAATGTGAACACATTTTGCCATTATTTTCAGAAGCATTGTCAGACTACCCAATTAATGCCTGATGATGCTTTTAGAATGATGGAGCAGGACGTCAGAGGTCCGCATTTTAAAAGCTTCTGGATAAATGTGTCGAATTCATATTCGCCAATAACTAATTAATCTATTATTCAACAGTAGTATGTCTCTATATCGATCGACAACACAATTAACGAACCTACATAGAACAGAAGAACGGCTATCTATTATTGGGGCTCCCACCATTTTTTGTTTAATATAACCTCATCTTCTAAATAGTACGCGCTACAGATATATGCAACATGTTATATATTGGTTATTTATGTCCCGCATTTTAAACCACAAGTTGAAACCACACAACCTTAATAGTTTGTATATTTTCAAGCGTATATTAACTTATAGCATAATAAATCTGCTACAATATTATGTACTGAAGTACCACTATTGATCGTCCAGGCTCGTTCAATTCTAGTCCAAGCTGTCGATATGGCGAATTAAATGCTTCAGTACATATTGCAGTACTTTCCGCTCATCGCCGGACTAAAACACCTATCAATAACTTCTAGAGGACTTATCTCAAAGCCGACAACGAATTTGCACTTTTTATCATAATAAATCTATTTCCATTTGAAATCACTTATCCAAACGTATATCACTGATTATTATCACTGATTTTGTACTAGAATGCATATTAACCTTAAAATGTATAGTCATATTATGTATATCATCACATCTTACTTGTTGACCTGGTGGTAACGGTCCGTCACTATCTGATGGTTCCACCACATTAGCACCAAATTTTCGTACACAGCCGATGCCTAATAGTTGCACTAACCAACAACAATTGGTAGGAATGTCGTGAATGAAGATGCAGCCTAGGATTTGGAAGGCGGTCTTTATGAAGATCACAGATACGTTGTATCCTAAAAGCCACTGCCACCTACAAAAAACATTAGTAAAATAAAGAATATCTTTTTTCCTTTTGACAACACATTTCTATGGCTTAGCGTCAAAAGACGCATGACTGAAATTTAAAAAAAGGGATATCACTCCCATTATATATACTATATTATATTTTGTGCCAAACAATTGTATCTGAATCTTATCTTTGAATCAAGCACTTATGTAAGGACTAAAATTAAGACAGGTTCTTTGACGCCGAACGATGGTAATAACATTAACTGTAGATAACGACTTTTGACATTAAGCCTTCGAGTTTAGGCAAATGTGTGCTTATTCAAATAATGAACAAAATTTACAATAACGGAGAAAGACATCTTCAAACGATGAGTGAAGAGACGATTTTTATACTATTGTAAGTTAGAGTAAGTTCCGTGAGTTATGTGTTCATCCATTTTTAGAAAAAATAATATATGAGAGATTAAAAGTGGATTTTAGATGGGATGCTGGTTTGTGATGTGTTTAATAAAAACACTTACTGCTTCAAAATTGTGGGTATGGGTTTCAAGTAGAAATCCGATCCATGCCACAGAAAAACAAATGCTCCAACTAAATATCCTAAGGAGAAGATGTTGGTGCGATTCGTTCCAGCCAAAAATACTATGGCCAAAGTTATCCACAGGAAACTTTGAAGAATTGCCCTTTTGAAAATGTCCAAGTATGACCTATATAATATGAAACAATTATCAATATTAAGCAACATATTTTTTTCAAATTATCTGATATCAGACAGGATGGAGATACATCAAATTGAGTTATTATTAACACTACCATTACGTCTTAACCTTGTCGTAGATACCCAAATATTGTCAATAAATTGCTTTTGAAGCAAGTGTTTTCCCATATACTCGTGTAAGAGGATCTTTTGTAGCGCTTTTACACCAAATTCTACAAAAATGTTACCACACATTTTTTATGGTTTGACTTATTATACAGCTATTTTCATGATACAAAGTCGAAAAGAATATGCCAGAAAACTACGTGTATCATTTTCCAAATATGGCGACACAAGGGGCGAATATAAGAGGTAACAGGATTAAAATCTGGAAAGCGAGAGAGTAAATTTAAACATTCAAAACTACCGAGATACAAACATAATATGTGGTTTCATTTGGACAGAGAATCAATCAGTCCTACAGATTACAGAAGAAAGGGGTTTGCTTGCCAGCGCTAATGTCACTGCGAACCAAATGGATATATTGTGAACCCATATATTTTTTGGGAAGCTTGATCTAATCAGACTTCATGGCCTTGACATAGGATCTTGTATGTAGCTTTCCGCTGTTGGACCTGTGGTTTCTACTATCTGAAGCCGTAGAAAGGCCTTCACAGTGACACACGAGTTTCCTCATGCTATCTGCAGAAACGGCATGTGGTCTCGACTGCCAGACCCAAGAGCCTCAATGTCGATTTACACCCACTAAGGCCCTTATTGCCTTCCTATTAAATCCAAGTAGGTGATCTGTAGATACGGGTCTTCGTACTTTGATGAACTCTTTTGTCTGCCTTTGCCCCAATTAGCTGTTCCACCATTCTAGACTTTTTCTTGGTCCAATTTCTTATGGACTGTTTAGAGCATGTTCTTGTCATGTCACACGAAGGCTCTGGACCTATAAGGCAATTGGCCGCACCCTGCAGGGCAAACTTATTCCCTTTTTCATTTCCTTTGTGTTATGTAATGTAACCTTGTTTCGGTTAAGCAGTCCTATCTACATGATGATTATTATATTTTATTTAGATATACCTGGCATATGTGATAAAATCGGGTACTGGGTTCTTGAAATCTTTCTCTTCAGCATTATGTATTATTACGTCGTTGGAACCTCCAACATATTCACCTCTAGCATATCTTCTTTCTATCCTAAACACCAACCATTGCCTGGACACCAAGAGAAGGAGGACGAAGTCTAAAATAAGCTTCTTCACAGGTGGTGAATGGTAATTGTCCAGCAAGAAGGCCCAGTCTTGCAGAGAATGCAATAGTTGGTCTTTACGGTCCCATGGAAATTCTAAAATGAAATGGTGGTAACTACAGCCTCACCGTTTTATAAAATTACTATAACGCATCACCTATAAGTTGATTGCTTTTGAGCAATCAGCAATATAGTATAGGTCTACGAGTAGTACATTTCTCAGTGTAGAAAATGCTACCCTTTTAATCATACAGAAAAGAATTGCCGGAATGAGAAGATATGTGCCAACTGTGGCAACGGTCACGAAGGAGAAAATTGTAAGCATGTATCAATAGAATGCTGCAACTGTAGATATGGAAATGAAAAATATAAAAAAATTATAATATCAACCACTCACCTACCGACAAAAACTGTCCATCGTTCAAATATTATCAGGAACAACAAAACTTAAGGATACTTTTTTGAAATTCAAGTTCATCTTTTGATACTCCTATCTCTATAGAGAATCTAAAAATGTCAGTAAATAAATCTATTAATGATTTACAAATTCCAAGTATTGCAACAAATATAGCACAAACCGTCGATGAACTTAATTTATGTACGCAAAATTCTGATGCAAAATTTCGAATTTTTAATATGAACATAAGGAGTATAAAACACAACATTGATTACTTAAAAATACTACTCGACCAAATATGGTTCAATTTTGACGATGATCCCATCACAAATGGATACTTGAATATCCTATCAAATAACGGATTTCTGTCCTATATAAACCTACCTACAAGGTCCATCAGTTTCACATGTATAGATCACTGCTTTGTGAAAGACCTATCCAACAAAATTACTTGTATACTAATAATCCTAGAAAGCGATATTACTGACTACTTCTCCACTATTTTACTGATATCTTCAAATTAAAAACATTCTAACATCCCTACCGTTAATAACAACCAGGAAAATTACAAAGTTTTTGTCAATTCAAAACTAATATCAAATGTCAAACAAGAATCCTGGGAACAATTATACTCTATAAATAATATAGACAAAGCAACGGGACTGTTCATAGAGAAAATAAAAAAACTAATAGATATTAGTACCAATAAAGTAATAATTAGTCACAAAGAGAAAAGCAGAAATGCCTGGATTACCAAAGGATTAATAACATCGGCAATAGAAAAAGAAAGACTGTATAACGTAATGAAACTAACGCCAACTACAGAGAATATCGACTGCTACAAAAAATATAAAAATAAATTTATAGAGCTTGCAAGGCAAACCAAACGAAAACATTACCTAAATAAATTGAATAATAACTTAAATGATCCTAAGCGGCTTTGGACAACTATTGATGTCATTTAAAGAGTGTGTCACTGAGTTAAATACAACATCGGGAACAGTATTAAAAAATCCTCAACAAATATGCGATGAATTTGTACAATTTTTTACTGACATAGGTGAAAATTTAGCAAGTAATATACAAGCAAATGTACCAATATTCAGCCTCCAAAAAGATCTTTGAACTCATTTATTTTGGATAAAGTCCAGCAATGTGAAGTATACACCTCTATTATGTCCTTGAAAAACGAAAAAGTCCTGGGTTCGATGGTATTAAAAGCGAGCATTTGAAAATTATAGCCGAGGACATAACAGAACCACTCACTTACCTAATCAACAAATGCTTTGAATCAGGCATATATCCCTCGATTTTAAAAAAGGTAATATAATACCGATACATAAATCAGGAACAAAAACAGATGTTAGCAATTATAGACCAATATCAATAATATCCAGTGTAGCAAAGGTTTTTGAAAAAGTTTTATCTACTAGAATGATTCGATACCTCACAAAATTCAAAATTTTAAGTGAAAATCAATATGGATTTACAGAAGGGAAGGCTACATCGGACGCAATCTGAATTTTTGTTGATTTAAAGAAAGCTTTCGACACAGGTTAATCACAAATTATTATTAGAAGCATTGGAGAGAATTGGTTTCAGAGGAAACGCGTACTCACTGATCGAAAATTATTTGTCAAATCGCCCACAATCTGTACAGATATCAGGATCGTTTAAAAAAGAAATGTATATTAAGTGTGGTGTTACACAAGGAACTGTCTTAGGTCCGCTGTTATTCAGTATATATTTAAATGATATTTTCCAAATTAATTGTGTTTGCAAAATAACCAGTTTTGCAGATGATACTGCAATATTATATAAAGGCACTGACTGGTCTGATCTGAAAAATGTAATTGAAAATGATTTTATCAAAATTATTCGGTGGTTTAACAGTAGAAAATTAAGCTTTAACTATTCTAAAACACATTTTTTACCATTTGGATCTTATGCTAGACATATACCAAATTACACAAATTTCTCCTTCAATATTAATGATCAAAAAATGCAAATTAATAGAGTGCCCAACATAAAATACCTTGGAGAAGTCTTGGATCCTCACTTACGATGGGACATCCATGTCAATTAAATTTTAAAGAAAGTTAGATTTGTATCCTACAAAATTAAATTCCTTGGGAATATATTGACAGAAAAATATCTTCGAACATTATACCATGCACTGATTGAGCCTCATCTCACATATGGTATATTAGCATGGGGAGCTGCATGTTCCTCACATATCTATAATTTAGATGTTTTTCAAAATGATATTTAAAAAACCGGAAACTTTATCCCACTGACAAATTATACGCAGATGTTCGAATATATGATATAAGACAGCTTTATTTCTTACACAGTATCACTCACTACCATAAATTTGTAAACACCGACCAAAAAATTAAACATAATCATTATACATATACATTATAGTTGCCGCATAAATCTATAATGCAGCGGACATATCTCTATTTAGCGCCAAAATTTTATGAAATTATACCTAAAGACTTAAAAGATTTCCGTTTCGGAAACTGTTTCGAAAGAAATTTAAAAAAGTGGCTACATTCTATATCTAGGACTGAAATTCATAAACTCATAAATACGAACATCAAGTAAATACATAATGTACTGTAGCTAATTTTTGTCCTTTTTTGTCATTTGCATTCTACAGTTGCAACTTAAAATTATTGGTCCATGTATAGGCGATGCCTTCTATTGGGCCTGTTTTGATTTTATATTTATTTACTCATATTGTTTGTTATCTTTGTACATTGAGTGAATAAATATTATTATTATACCCGTTTGCTTGCTTCCCGTTGTCTATCTCCAAAAACTAGACCTATACCATACTGATTATTTCTACAAAGCATCAAACAACGTTATATACGTGCGGTTATAGTTGAAGAGAGGTGAGGGAGCATATTTTGTTCAGCCTTTATAATATGTTTCGCAAAAGTTACACACATCTTATTAATTCTTCCGCAAGTTGCGTCCATGTTCCAGGATATGTTTAAGTTTGCATGAATCCTCTATAAAAGGTTGAATGGATTGCATAGCGGTTTTTTAAATACTATATCTTTGCTGAACAACTTACCTTGGCACAGGGTAGGTGGAAGCCCAACTGCCATGAAATATTGAAATGGTAGTGCTACAGCAAGGAAAATGAGGTAGAATAACCATACTTTGGATAGAGTACTCCTTTTCATAGAAAACAGGATGCATAGCCAGATTGCGTACAATACGGAATACATATCCATTCGTGTTCCTATTACTGCTACTGTCATCATCAGTGATATCTACGTGAATATATACATATATAAAATTATGATGAACCTGTTACGGAAATGAAAATTAAACTGCAGAAAGAATAATCCTACATGCTTGTCTGGGCAATAAAACCACAAATATTCACAGGTCGTTGATGTACAATGACATATGTATATTGATATGTATTTGTGTGTGTGAAGAAGATCTGTCAATACATTTGGTTTTATTGGACAGACAAGCATGGGGGATTATCGACATGTAAATCACATGATAAGTTTCAGATGTTACATTTACAGAAACAATATTTTACTGAATTCTTAGATACAATTCTCACCAAAAGAAATCTGACGGCAACTCGGCCTAACCCGATTTCGACTTAAATTGCGTTGATTTTGCGATCTCATTAAGCAACTGATAGTCTCTCAACATCAAATGAAAATGTCACCGATTGCATACTCGCTACTATGAAAGCGAATAGAGCAAATAATAAAAATATTGGTTCAATCCATCTGTTTTAATAACTGATATTCAGCGATGCGAGTTCAGTAAAACGCGGAATACTGATAAAACCCCAAAAAAGGGTTCTATACAAGAAAGTAAGTATTGTTGTCTAAAATCCATAAAAGCTCGTACAGTAGGTTCCGAGATTAGGTGGGCATAAAAAAGGTATGGACTACCAACCGATAAACAGACCGGCGGAAATGATTTGATAAGGAAATCTGTGATTAAAGTCAAGAAAAGACGGCATTTTTGCAATTACTATATTAACTTCACCTATGGCAGAGAAGTAAAAATTATCAAGATTTTTGCTGTGGGTTTATAAATAAATTATTATTCACATTTGGTTCTTAAAGTCCTAAATGAAAAAATTCCGTGTAAGTATATTTTGGAAATAAACTCTGATCAGATACAAAACATCGAATACAATCCCAAATATATAGGGTGTTTCAAATTTGACTCTCACCACTGGGATCTCGGAAACATTAAGATATACGAAGTCGGTCAAATGGGGTCAAAGTTGCGCATTTAGGTAAAAAATGGGATTTTAAAATTATGAGTTCATTAACAATTGCCACTTTTTCTTCTTCATATCTCTTACCGTTTCCGATATTCGAATAACAAATATATGTAATTAGCAACCTACGGAAAGCAACATATGCACATAACATATTACTTGGCTTTGAAAAGCTTTTGTACTCTTTAAAATTGCTTTTCACATTTCTTGTATCAACTGAAAAGTCTTCAACACAGCGGATCGCTTCAAACGATACAAACATATTATTAGTAATTTTGAGAAGAATTACAACTTGAATTTTGAAAATACGAGGTCTGTAAATTAAGTAATCAGGCTGGCACCGTAGCGTTGGATCTGGCAACACTGGAGGCGCCGGGCTTGGAGAGGAGAGAGGATCAGATTTTGCTTCAGACTTAGACACAGTGCAACGGAAACTCTTGCTAAGCTTCAGCAGACCTATAGAGATGAGTGTTTTTTCGAGAGCCCTGGTTTTTCGGTGGTTTAAGGCATTTTCAGAAGCGAGATGAACCACGTAGCGGAAGGCCTTCATCATCAAGAATCGATGAAAATATCGACAGAATCCGGGATCTTGTGCGTTCATATCGTCGGTGGGCAATCAGAATGATCGGGGAAGAGTTAAATTTGACTTACTCCACCGTTCATCAAATCAATAACAATTGGCATCACGATAATGCTCCTTGTCACACAGCAATGTCAATAAACGAGTTTTTGGTCAGTAAAAACATTCCTGTGGCTCCTCAGCCTCCTTATTCGCTTGACATGAACCCTTGTGATTTTTTTCTCTTCCAGAAGATGAGGGAACTCATTTTGAGACATTCGAAAACATTCAAACGGCTGTAACCGACCAGTATCGGAGTTCCAGCACTGCTATGAGGAGTGGAAGAACCGTCTCCAGCGCTGTGTGGCTTCTCAAAGAAATTATTTTGAGGGAAAAATATAAAATTGTAAGTATGTTTGAATGAAAAAATTAAAAAATCTGACTCATCACTTAATTTAAAGACCTCGTATGACTAGAACGTCAGCTGGGGCGTGGATATCGGCAACTGCAAAGTGACAAGCTACGGCAGTGCCGGCAGCTGGTCGTGTTGTCATCTTCTGGGTGTGAACAGTGGTATTTGAATATATGAGCCGCATCAGAAAGATATCTGGTTGTGATAGCCAGTTGCTTTCGGAAAGAACAGTCCATCATAACAGATCGGATAAGTCTGCATCAATAAAATAATTTGAGAAAATTGAGCATAGGAGCAGTGAAAAGATGGTTATATCTCTCTTTAAAAATTAATGTGCATACAGATCAAGGATCATCAAATTTCTCGAAACTGTAATAGTCATTTTATCCTTCAGTATGTTTAGGAATCATCTGTAAATAACAAACTTATTGTCGCTGATATCTTATTATGCTTTCTTAGGTTGATAAGTTAGGTTTTTGAAATGCTTAAGTTTCTGAAAATTCAGTACGAAGTCCACATAAGGAGAATTGGGTATGTCCAATATAAGTTCTTGCGAATTTTGGCTTATCAGGCGAGTATCATTGTCCATAATCACGATTATAGCTTGGTAATGGAGCATTTCAAAATTTTACCTCTGGCCAGAAAATGATATTATCTTGAACAATCAAATTGACTGCTTTTACCTTGCATCGAAAATCAATATAAATATACCGATAAGAGTGAATCCTAGACACTGTACATACTTCAATATTCCGTTTTGTAAAACTAATATTTAATTAAACTCTCACCTGATACGATTGCAAAGAAATCTGAACAACTATGGTAAATTTGCTGATATTTTTGCTTGTGAAATGTTAAATTTTAAATACTTGATGAATAGCAGAATGTTGGTCACTCCCTTGTTAGCTACGTTCCATTATTTGTAATATTTTTTTCCTTTACTGAATTGAATACAGATTTCATATATTTAGATTATAAATAACAATCCTTACAATTTAGTATGTTTAACCATACGGTCGATGTCTATTTTGGAGATTTTCTCTATTTGATGACCCTAATTTGTTAAATAAATAAATAAAATATGTTGGAAGTTCTACATTGGCCATCAACCATCAGTATTCGCACTAGATACTATGTGTGTAGTGCTTTTATTCACAATCTCAAGTCATACCGAATTTGTGATTATTAATATAATAATCATCATCAACTTACCTCCACTCCGAACTTGTAGTACCCATAATTGGCTAGATACTTAAGACAATTTCTCAAATTCGTATCAGCGTCCGTTCTTTTTATGTTCGGAAACATAAAGAATGCTCGCGTCGTAGGCCTGCCTCTGGATAGTCTATAATTGTATTGCCTTACTAAAATGACGGCCCACAAAGTGACTACTAAGATGTAGATGATATTCCACTTGACCAGGGTGGGTAGGTGGGAACCTTTCTCGAATCCGAACCATGGCGCGTTGTTTTTGGTGGTCATGTTTATGTCCGGATTCTCCGTCACCTAGAATGCACTTATCTTATCTTATCTACGGTAACTGCATTTAAATTAACCTAATAGTTTGATGATAATATGGAGATTGAGATGTTCTTTGGAGCATTGGAATACACGCAGCAATGTTCTTTAATGTGCCCCATCATTTGATCGGATCAAGTTAGCAAGTTGAAATTTGTGATGTGGAAATTGATGCAAGGATATTTTAGAATGTTATGTGACATTTGAAAATTGCAACATAATGGCTGTGACGCATTTTGGATATTTTTTAAATGGAAGGTGGGTGATGTTTTACTTCATTTTAAAGATCCTTATGAGTACTTTATAAGCACAGAATACGTTTTCTATCTTTAAAAATAGTGGACAAAATGGCTGCTAAGCTTGAAAGTTTTTGTACATTGACTCGCTTAAAAATCAACATCTAAATTGATATAATACATTCTATTCAAAAAAATTATTCGACATGACGCCCAGCAGTCATTTTGACATTATTGAATGCAAGTTTCAAGTTAAAATATTTTCATACATTAATTTCCTTATGTTGAATTTCAACTTGTTATCCTGGCCCGGAAAGCCCGATTTTTCAATCGTAGGTTAACGTAACCCTACCGCCAATCGGAAGATAACTCCCACAAAGCGTTTTTCACTGACAAGTTTACACTAAAACATCAGTTAATTTCAATCAAAGGGCCGCATGGGTTAACTACAAACTTATAGTTAAACCGCAATGTTCAATCTACCTTGCTTAACAGTGACATATGTTGTCACGGATTACGCGAGGCTCAAACACCGAGCATCAGTTAAATGTTAGTAAACTAGAATATGCAAAATGAGTTTATGAGCAAATGTTGGTTAGCTTTCAAGTTGTAGTTAAAAGCTAACTTGGGATTGAAAAACTGGGTCTCAAAAAGTAAATGGAGTAGGCATTAAAATAACATTGTATGAAATGCAAAAATCATATCATATTTGAATTTGTATGTACTAAACGTTGTGGGTACCCTAAAAAGCAATAAAATCTAACAGTAGCCGTTACTGTTTTGGGCTAGATACTATGCGGCTCGGGCCTTTGATAACCCACACTCCTCATACGCCACCTATGGAGGAACCACTCGATGGCCGTTTTGCTGTTATTTTGCCTGAACCGCAGCAATTCGTATTTCGCTAGCATGCTTTGTGGGTTTCAATCTCTTAGAAGAATATCATACTATAATACTGATATATACATAACTTTTAGAGCAATACATGATGGAGAAAATATTTTACGACTGAATATATAAGGCCCGATTTTACTACTGATCCGCGGGATCTAAAATTTGGTCCGGAGAAGACGTCTTTGTAGTAATAGATCAAATAAATATAGCTGATTGATAAAAATATTTGTGAAACTAGCGAAAAAATATACAAGTTGTGTAAGAAGGACCTCTAACCCCAAAGTAATCAAAAAGTTCTTCACAAATCACCTCGTTTAACAACAAAAACATATTTTTCCACTTGACCAAACGAAAATTGACCAATCAGAAATAAGTATCATAAACCCACCTTCTAAATAGATGATAGAACCAAATTCAAACCAAACATAAACACCTGAGAAAATTGAAAAAATATATATCGGCACGTGTATTACATATCTTGAAATGTGACATTTTGTCGTGTTGAGCTGACATTTTGTAGGTTTTTTATAACATAACGTAGGTTTTTCTACAAGATGTCAACTAAGCACTAGCTATTGTACACTTGTGAACTCGTTTTGTAGCTGTACGTGTTGCCTAAACGACATGATTTTTCAGCTATCAATGTTGGCGGTCTAAGCTGAAAGTTGTATACTGTAGCTGGAAGGAAACGGCAGTGCATAGGTACATAGTGAAGATTTCTGTGCTAATAATCTGTGTTGATGATAATTCCATTGGTTTCTTGTCTCAAATACACTTACTTGAGATGTACTCAAAGCTAGAAATTAGTTACGCATTTACTTTTTCTTATTCATTCTGGAAATTACATATGCAAATTTGCTGAATTTCAAGAATGAGAGAGATAAGAAAAGAAAATCCCTGGATGGTGAAGTAATTAACTTTATGTGGAATCCTATATTTTATACCTACATATTGCAGACAACTCATATTCATGCTATCAGTAATTACACACAACAACGGGTTGATTTCCCGTAATTATCTTGCAAGTTTTTGAATAATCGTAATTTATTACTTTGAACATGCGATCTTGCTTCTTCTCAGAAATAAACACTACTTGGATTTTTGTCGTATCGTTGAGTCACCCCTCCATAGATCGAAGCTGAGAGCGATCATAGCGAGCAAACGTGGAATGAACAATTTGCACACTAAAAACTACCTAGTCTGCAAGAAGACATTTTATCGTTTTTTTTTTTTTTTAGGTTTTTTACATAATACCCCTGTCGTCGTTAATTAGGTGTAGATTTCAACAAATTCCCTAATTATCACATTTTTGCTGCTTCTGGGTTACAATTATTTTAAACAGCTTTATCTGGTTTAGAAAAATATATAATGTTGCCTTTGCTTTATAAAATTTTATAAAAAAAAGGTGGAGATCAGATAAGAAATTATACAACAAAAAGGAACATCTGTAATAACAAAGTCTGCAAAATGGAAACCCTTCTTTCTTGTGCCTCTTTATCGGCTAGAGAATTCAGATAATAACGATATTCGAATAAGCATTTCAAGTTTTTACTATTTTGTGATATAATAAATTCTAACTATATTTATGATATTCTATGCAGGTCAATGACATTGAAGTTGAATTTACCCTAATACAATAGGATACCTCGCCGACAGACCCGTATTATCTTATACAACATAGTTATTCCCCAATCGTCAAAATGAATTAGTATCCGGAAATACTGCACGCTATTCATTACAATTATCAATAAATTTGAACCTATGATAAATACAAACGATTAGATGAAACTAATATTATTATTTGAATTTCTCTTGCGACATTCTGTTTTTCCAAATATTCGGGTAATCAGTACGTCTTCGGAATGTGGAGCTTACTTTTTAATGATTGTTAATCAAGTGTATCTATAATTATTTTGTTTTTCGAATCTGATTTATATAACATTCACCAAGATGTGCTTACTTTTTAATGATTGTTTATCAAGTGTATCTATAATTATTTTGTTTTTCGAATCTGATTTATATAACATTCACCAAAAACTCAAAAACAACTCACAACCACATTCAAATGAGCTTGCACTGATCTCAGCGGCACTTGGTACTTTGTAACAAAATTTTGCAAATAACGCGGCAAGCCGCTCCCAGGTGTGAAATGTCATTTTTCGTACATCGTGAGATCGATAGTTAAGTAACTATCGAATTTGATCAACCTACAACAGGCACCGATTTATTTAATGCTTGTATCAAATTAAGATAGCAAGTTCCGCACGGGTATTATGTGAAAAACCTATAAAACGTCAGTAGATCGTAGGTTTTGATCTCCGAATCAACTGAAAAAATGTGTTTTTGTAGCTAAACTAGGTGATTTATAATGAAGATTTAATATTGGGATTAGAGGCTCTTCTTACACAAATCGTATATTTCTTCGCTAGTTTGTAAGATATTATAGAAAAAATCGACTATATTCATTAAATCCATCAGTAGAAATATGCCTTCTTGTTGATCCATATCAAGAATTTTGATCTCCTGTTAGTGAAATCGGCCTCACAGGTCGCATGCAGGTTCAGCGCTATTTGATCATGTACGAACATTTTTAACCGTACAGTTTGATCACAATTGCTGAGATCCTTGGGAATATTAGGTTTCTCTTATTAGTATATTACAGGACACTGAAGCATTTCTTTTTCGTAACAAAGCGAATAATATGGCGCTATTCACGTTTACCATAAGCTAGAAATGGTTAGATTAGGATTATCAAAACAGGTGCCATTTCTGGAGCAGTTTTTGTAGTCTTTAACAAATGGCACTTGAATCGTTTACGTAAACCCACAGCTAGTACAAATATGTTTTTACGTAATAAAGGTGCAATGCAGCAATCCAAGTATATTTTTGTTTTGTTAAACACATAAAAAGTATATAACATATGCAATTAAGCTCTATTTCAGTTAGCTGATTACATCACCTTTTATAATACTTGTAGTAGATTGTTCCCAGTATACTCACCGTACAATTAACGTCCCAATTCTGCGGGGTGATGTACTGAATCTGGTAGATCATCCTGGCGAGAAGCATAATAGATACAAGTAGAGAGCTAAAGTAGATGGCGAAAGTTTGCATAGGCCTGCCAAATGTTAGTGCCAACGAGATCAGCACAACAATGATGAAGTAGAGGGCACACTTGTCGTAGACACACATCAACATGGCGAAAAGTAGGACTGCTTTAGCCATGTGCAGCTCTAGGAATAAGTAGCAAAGGTTCTTGGCTCGGTGAAGTCGCTTTAGCCATTGCTTGAGGAGTAGTTGGAACTGAGCAGAGGTTATGTCTGTATAAAAAATGAATAGATTATTTCAATCACATACGCGTCACTTGTACCTGCGTAATATTTGTAATTACTAAATCGATTTTAATGATAGTTGAAGTGTGGTATGATAGAGACCGTTTTTCGTTTCATTTTGCATGTCTTTCAAGTTTTTGATCATTGCAGTGTAGTATAAAGTCGTTCATAATACTGTGTGGCGGACTTTATTAGTCATAGGTAAAAACTATGGACACCTCAAAATATCTCGAAAAATGGGTTTACTAGAGAAAAATGTTGCAGAACAAAGTTGTGAGGTTTGCAAAGGGTCATTTAATAGTGCTATTTAACGTCACCTTAACTATGACCTCCAAGGTCATTTGAAGGCCAAGACAGTTTTCTTGAATGGAAACCCCTATTTTTGACAACGAAAATACATATAGTGGTAAATTTTACGTTCAAGTCCTTTTCCATGACCTTGACTATGGCTTTCAAGGTCATGTTACGGCGTCCAGGAAGTATGGAAAGAACAAAAAATCTTGAAAAATGTGTTACCTAGAGAAAAATGTGGAGGAACAAAGTTTCACGGCTGAAAAAGGATCATCTATAGGTGATCTCGAACGTTACCTTGAGCAGGACCTTGAAGATTTTACGATGAACGAGAATTTAACGGGACGTGAAACTACTATTCAAATTACCTTAAAAGTCATGGTCACGTTCATTTGCAAGGATATACTGAAACGTAAAATTGTCCGCAATATGCAGGAATTAAAACTAGGTGTTAAGTGAGGGTTAAGTGGAAGAGCAGCTACAGCTAAACTTCACCCGTATACGGCAAACTGTATTTGATGTTAATATTTATGTGGAAATGAAGACATTTATTATTATTTTTTGCCCGTTAAAAATCGATTTGATCTTTAAATAACCTTGTCGGTCATACTCGATCATGGACATACTTGAATATAAGCTTTTCTGCTATTTATGTTTCCGGTGCCGTTGAAGAAGACTATTTTAACCTTGAAGGTCATGGTCAAGTTCAAATCCAAGCTCATCGTTCGTTGATCCTTTTCAAACTTTGCGACTTTATTTTGCTACATTTTTTTATGTATCCATACTTTTTGGACACCCTGGATACAAGTTTCGCATGTTTATTATTCATATATTTATTGTTTCACATAGCTTTTGACCAAGATTTAGAGGCATCTTTAGGATCTTCAGGAGTCGTACATGTGCGACTATCAAGAAAAAAGATAAAGCTTCGATCTGCTTGGTTTCCTTTTTCGAAAAGTCTCGAACACCCGACACTGCTATTTTGGAACATGAAGTTTAGCAACATTTAAAAAATGTATGAAAAATAATTTTAATTCACTGGTGCTTTTTGAAATGTACGACTGCTTCAATCTCGCGGGCCACTCATCTATCACTGCACGCACAGCTTCCAAAGGAATAGCTGCCGCTGATCGGATCAAATCCGCTTTCAGGGACTCGATATTACGGTGGGCTTTGGAGCAGGCCAACTGCTCTAGCAGGTCCCACAACTTGTAGTCTAAAGGATTGAGGTCCGGACTCCCTGAGGGCCAATCTTCCGCAGCAATGAACTCTGGCACATTGCTTTCCAGCCAGCGCTGCGTACTCTTAGCCTTGTGAGCGGGGGCGGAATCCTGCTGGTAGACCCAGTGTTGGTTGGCAAACAATGTACCACTTAAAGGCTTGACGATAGGATCCAGTATGTCGCTCTGATAGTTTGCCGCTTTGTTTTCACGCCCTGTTTACAGAAATGGAACTGAGTGACCCCTTCGTAGGACACCCCCCACCAAACCATGACTGACGCAGGGTGGTGGCCTCTCTCAACTCTCGGAATGATCTCCGAAGCTTCCTGTGAACTCCTTGCATACACTTTGTCATTTTGTCGGTTGAATTTTTCTTCTATGGTGAAGATTTTCTCATCCGTGAACAAAATCTTTCGGAATCCCCCAGCTGCGTACCTCTCCAAGAGCTTCTTGGATCTTGTCGCCCTGATGTGTCGCAAGGTGGCCGTAAGTCGCTGGCCCGTACGTCTCCGGTAAGCCCCTAGCCCTAGGTCTTGTTTAATGATGCGCGACATCGTCCGGACAGGAATCTTCATTTCCCTGGATAGGATCTTCTGCTTCCGGAGTGGACTCCTTTGAATCCTGGCTTTTACGGCTTTGATGGCTGCTGGAGTCCTTACTTGACGAGGTCTTCCGCTTCTTGGCCTGTCATCAACAGAGGACGTCTCATTGTACCGCTGAATGGATAATAAAATTAATTTATTATTTTTATTTACATACTAGCGCCATTTATGATTTTTTTCATCTTCATAATCATAATTCTAGGGCCTACATTTATAATCAATACTATAAGGCTGAGTGCTGGTGGATGGTTGGCCGACCATTGAATTTTAAACAAACAATAAAGTACCCTTGAGTGACCCTCAAATGGAGATTTAAAATTTCCATTTGACACTAGGCTGTAACAGTTGACACCACAGGTTTTCAAAATCAAAATTTTTAAACTTCTCGACAATCTTCAAGATTTTCAATATTTCCCGACTTTCAATGAATTTAAGGATTTACTTTTTAAATCTTCACTCGAAGATATCAAAAACGCGTTGTTGTTCGTTTAAAAATGTTAAAAATCAAGGGTTGATCAACTTTCAATCGGCTCTTAGTCCTAAAGGGTCGATAATAAAAATGTGGGCCTTTAAAGATCAAATGAACAAAAGTGAGTATAATTTTTGTTCCGAATAAGGAAAAGATTACAAAAAATTGTGGAAAAGTGAATTTTTAGTGGTTTAATTAAAAAAGTTCTTGAAGTCGGGCAATTATTATGTGTAAAACATGTAGGTCTTATTTCTGTATTCACCACAAAGCTGAAAAAATTTGTAATGGCGAATCTATTATATTGACTCGGTATTCTACCTACATTGATATAAAATATTTGCTAACTTTTTGATTATCTCAGATTCTAAAAACCCGCATATTCAATTCAATTCATGGATTCCCGGTTGGTACTACGAGTAAACATCGTATAGGCAATGCAATATGATTTCTAGCTTGTATACTCACTATCTAAATCATATAAATCAAATTGTATTTGCGACGAAGGCTCCTCCTTCTCACTTCTGTCTACATAAGCCCCTCCTTGCATACTGCTTTGTTCCAAATCTTCAACGACTGCATCTACAAGGTTAGCGTTCTTCGGATCAGAAAGAACCATGAAATCGTTGTGAAAGTAATGGAGCTGGATCACAGTGATGATCACGAAGAATGTTGGTGTTACCAGGCGAACAAACAACTGAGTGGTCTCAAACTGTTCAAGGCCAATGTCCAGCTGCCTGTGGAATGAATATAATGGCCACTGAAACTTTTGGGATATACATCACTGAAAATTATATTTTGATTAGCTGATTCTATGCAAAAGATTGGAAACATTGTATGTCGTTTAAAGTAACCCTGGAAATGATGGCTATTCCAGCAACATAACAAGGGGAACACATGCCATCCAGATAGGCAGATCAGTCAAGACCGCACGAAGAATCCAGCATTCTAATTCCGACCTTCAAATGTTACGCGCACGACACGCACATCATTCATTCAGGCAATCATTGTATCGTTCCAGTAATACACGATTATTCATCAAAGTGGAACCTCATTCACCTATTCCACACATGCAATGTCAAAAGCGAGTAGTACCATAAAATGGTTATATTACCAAGGGCTTGGGTTCGGTAACATGTTCGGTAATATTCTCGGAACTTATAATAGAATAAGTTATACGTTGTTGCTGTCTGGGATAAGCAACAAAATCTACTGATTTTTTTTCCGATTTATAAATTTGCCATCATTAGTCACAGTGAATTTGAAGGATACCACCACCACAAATGCAAAATTTCAAGTCTCGAAAGCAATACTCCCTGATAAACATGTCACAAAATATCTGGTTAGATATTAGAAGAAAAAACAAAACGTAATTGGCGTAATGTCATTAAACTACAATGTTAAGTATGGATTGATTCCAAATCCCGCTTAAGTCACTGATCTAGTTTAAACCCGTATGGTGGTGCGCTTGGAAACCAAAATTATATTAAAAACCGGGCAAATATTTTGAAAACCACGATGAATTATTGGCAACTCAAATATCATATGAGAAAATTAATTTTTCTGTTAGTACTTTACTATCTGCAATTGACTAGAGTATAGATAAATTATTAAAATCAGAATGATAAAAGAAGCAGCACGCGTATTCTGTATCCTCTAAGAAAGAAATTTCTTTCTATAAACTCTTTATCGCACTTTACCCTATTCTGTAAGATGATTCGGCAGCGATCGGGTTGCACGAAGGCATTGTTTGGTATAAAGGAATAGAAAGACAAAATTACCTCTTTCTATGATTCTTGTCTCTTTTTAACAAACGCGTACTTATTGCATCTTTGTCGGCAGTCCGCATGTTATCTACAATTCGTAAAAAGATACAAATATATGTACTTTGAAATACTTAAAGAATGAATGTGGGTGTTTATTAATGTTTTGTGTTGGACTGTGCTATATCAATAATTTATCATTTTTATATATTGCTTTAGGCTGTTGGTAGATGGAAATCTAAGGTGAAGGCAAAAGCAGCACAGCTGAGGATCGAGAGCCAAAAAACTGGTGGTGGCTGTTTAAATGGTGCTCCTTTAACAGACACAGAGGGGCGACTAATGAAATTAATTGGTTGGAAATCAGTAACAGGGAATAGCAATGCAGAGCTGGGATTGGTAACTATGTCATTTGATGCATTTAAAAGAAATTGTAAGTAGAATTGTAATATGCAGGGTGAGCTTTCAGTGTGGCATTGGTTGATAACTCTGTTATTAAACATATCAATCAATCAATTTTCAAATGAGGCACCCTGTATATTTTAACATCTCATTGTCCTTTAACAGGGTTGACTCTTTTTAATTCAGATATGAATGAAAAAAAAATGAAAAATATTACATTACATTCCCAAATAAAACATAGCATAATGGCAGAGCTAGCGACTAGGCCCTCACGAAGAATTAACCCTGTATGTACTTACAATACAAACATTTTTATCTACAGGGATCCATCCGACCCATCGCAGCACACCAGACACTGCCAGAATTGAAACCCTTCATAGAAGGAAACACCAGTAAAACTGCAACACCAGATCCTCAACCTTCTTGCAGCACAGTATCAAAGTCGCCTCCAACACTAAGGTTACTTAATCAAGAACCAGCCAGAAAACGTAGTCGACTTCCTTGGCAAAAAATGCATCAGGAGGTCATGGAGGAAAGGAAAAAAATTGAGAAATATTGTCAAACGACAAGCTGAAGCCCAAGAAGCAATGGCTGGAACACTCAAAGAACTTTTGGCCTATATAAGAACAAAAGATAAAAATGAATAAACATAATGGTGCATTGTAAACAATGTGATTTTAGTTTTAGAAGTATAAATAATATTTATTTATAGAATTTATTTTTGTTTGCTCTTAGATTGTTTGACTAAATAATGACTCAAGTTTTTTCATTGTAATGTTTGTGGAAAACCTTTGTTTTTGTTTCATGGTGTTGTTCACAATAAAATATTTTTTTTTTAATTTTAGTTTCATTTTATTTGATATATCTATCTAACATTTTGAAAATACAATTGTATTATGTTGACTCTCCTTCCCTGTCTTTGTTCAAGAACATTGCTTACAATAGCATCCGAATCTGGAACATCATCATCATCTTGCTCCTCTTCTTGATCTTCCATATCGATATTAGCCCTAACACACATGTTGTGTAGGACACTAGTGGCATTGATAATTTGACCAGCTCTGAAGAGGGTATAATGTAAGACCCTGTCTTTCAATAGACAACGAAACCTATTTTTCAAAACTCCTGAAACAAAATTTTCTCATTTAGTACAAAAATATATTAAAAATAAACATTTTTTATAAAATACCTATACATCTTTCCACACAATTCCTGGTTCTTGTCGAACCTGTCGTATATCTACCTTCAGGAGTATCAGTAGGCATACCTTGAATAGGAGTCATAAGCCATGGCTCTTGTGGATAACCACTATCTCCAATTAACCACGAATTATGATCACCATTATTGCACATTTCTTCTAAATGAGTCCTTACATTGGAATTTCTCCAAATAAAAGCGTCATGAGATGCTCCACCATAATTTGCTTTTATGTTTAGAATCAATAGATTTGCATCACATATTAATTGTACATTTTTTGAATGATATTGCTTTCTATTCAAATATAGATGCTCATCCTCTTGAGGTGTAACAATGGCAATATGAGTGCCATCAATGCAGCCTATTACTCCTGGAAATCCAAATTGCGCCATAAACTGTTCTTTTTTCTGTTGCTTTTCAGCTTCACTTAATGGGAATTTTACCCATCTATGAGCAATTGACTCTAGAGTCAGACAAACTTCAGACACTGCTCTGCTAAATGATGGTTGTGACAATGCCACATACGCCTCATTTCCTCCTGCCTTCTGATATGAGACCTGAGCAAAAAACCTTAGGGCACCAAAGATCCTGATATGGACGGGAATTCTTGTGTCTCTTGCTCCTGCATCCATATGAGGGGTAAGATCACGAATGAGATCTTGTACCAACTGCCGACTAAGTCTGAAGCACTTTCGGAACTCTCGTTCAGGCAATTCGAATGCATTTTGTTTATCTCGTAAAGTTCTCCGCTCCAAACGTAATTAGTTTTGTGCTTCTTCATATTCTGCGTCCTGTAGCAAATGAAGGAATATTGGCTCCATACTTTTACATGTGGGTGCTATTTTTTGTACTTCTACCTCCTTACATAAACTTGCACGAGTCGTAAAATCTAAATTATTCTTAGTTCGGAATTTTCCAACAAATTGACAAATTAAACAAGCAAAACAACAAATATTTTATATCGTTGCCAACTTACCCGAATGACTTCCGAAGTTTCCCTAAAAGATGTCAATGTTTTTACAATGGATAGTTCACATTTCTCTACAACCGAACGTACCCGAACGCCCGTAGAGAGAACAGTACAGAATAAATTCACGACATAGAAAGAAATTTCCTCTCTATACTTAAAGAAAGAAATTTCTGTTTCTAGGACGATACAGAATACGCGTGCAGTATTCTTGAGCATTTTCTTCCACTATTACAAGCGATGAAAAATCATTAATTAACCATAGCAGGGATACTTTGATATAAATAACAATTATGATAATAATAGAAAATCTCACAATTATACCATATGTAATTATGAGCATAATTTAGCTACCAGGTATTATAATTCAATACCTGAAGTGTACAAGTCAGATTCTTTATCTACATTCCGCAACAAAATTAAACTGTTTATAAATTCACTATCCACTTAAACTTATCATTTCTATATATTATATGATGTATTGTAATTTTTGATTTACGCATTTTCTGACCTTGTTCTTGTCTGTTTTTTTTCCTTAAGACAGGACCATAAATTTCTGTATTGTGTTACCAATCGCTAGCTGATTGGTTAATTGTAAGAGTAGCGAATGCTAAACTTCGCCAATCAGTTAGTCAATTTCCAAATAAAGACGACTATTATTATTATTGATACCAAATCACGGTTGGCAATATCAAAACATTATCTTACTATTTGAATCATAGATATAATTATCCATAGTTTGACAGCAAATGTATGCTTAGGTGAAACTGTGTAACGTAGCAAATTAGAAATTGAGCACATGTAGTGTCAATTCAATACGAATTATAGACATACATGGACATCAAATGCATACATTAATGTTAAGCACGTAAAGTTTTAAAATAATAATTCAGGATCAAATAATATCGAACAAAAGCTTCTGTAAAATTGTGCTTACTGTTCCTCTGGTATATGAAGATACTCTGTCCAGTACTTGGGAAAGTTCTTGAACTGATACGTGTATACCATCACCAGTATTATCATAGAATATATGATGACCGTGAGCCAAAATCCAAACATCATTTTCCTCCATATTTGAAAAGAGAACTGTAAAAGAATGTAAGCGTTATTTAGAAAACTCCCCTTCACATTTAAAATGCGAATTCTCGGGTATTGATCAAACTCAACTCACTACAATAACTTTGAGAGTAATTTGAGTTCTTGCCAAAATGAACACCGATTCATTTTGAGCAGTTTGTATCCCGACTAAGTGGCGATGTTTTAGAAATGTAAATGAATACCGAGTTTGTACCAAAAGTATAGTGGTCCCCGAGAGTCAACATTTAATCGACACTGAATTATGTTTATATATTTTATTCATGTTTAAAATAATAACAAATAAAGCTTTATTTTAAAAGCATATTACGAGTAATCAGGCAGACGTAACAATACTTAAACGATTTGAAAGGGTGGTTATTATTGATTTTTTATACTTAAAGAGGAAAGAAAGCAAGTTTTAAATGTCAAAACACCATGTCAGCTAGGAAGAAATCCACAAATAACGCATTTACGTCTTGAATAGTCGAAATCCACCTCCTAGCTCTAAGCATATTGTTCTCTATACTCTACAAACAATAGACTGTCCGTATCAAACGACCTTGATGTATGTTTGGTGTAGTAAGTAACACGATGACAACTTCCCAGACATGTTAACATGTATTTTCTAGGGTCTACGTTATTTAAAAAGCCTGAATAGTGAAAGACACGTCATTATTTTTATCGCAACTGATGGGTGGTGACAAACCGTGTCTTTGGCAAGACAAAAGAAGTTTTTGCTAGTCATGCAGAGGTTGGTTTGACAATTTTATTAGTTTCAATGCCAGTGGAAAAAGTACTGCACGTTCACAAAAATGTAGTCAGATTTACTGCGTCGAAAATGTGTCAATTCAACATAAACAACAAATAAACAGTACCATTTAGCTCAACAAATTCAGCAAATGATTACAGCACTCTAAATTAAAAGTGCGTAATCAGGATTGCGTTTCAAGAACCATAACTGTATTATTTTACTATACAATATTTACCTGGAAGGATAGAATAAAAATGAGGAACAGGGCCATATAGAGAATCCTGAAACCTGTCATCCTCTGACCTGTTATGGCTACAGCAAACAGGGTGATTGCAACCACCCATATCCAGAATTTCGTAAGGAACCTCTTCAAATGTTGACCTATGCGTTCCATTACCTATTAAGAAATAATATATTGCAAGGCATTGTTCAAACAAACATGTGGAATAGCCATACTTATCGGAACGCCATGACGATGTCGCCATCATTCGTAGCCAAATTACCCTATAGCAAAATATGGCTTCCTGGCTTGCCGTCTAGTGGAATGAGACGCCAAAATCAATGGTCAGTCTGGAGATGAATGCTGGCGAAGCCGCACTGGCGACCCAGTAAGGAAAGGCTTTTCCAGTGGAATAGATCCGTTAAGTACTTACATAGGAAACATCGAATCATTAAATTGTTTGGATGATTGTATTTATTAGTTTTAAGGATAAGCAGAAAACGCTTGACCCCATTATATAACGCTTTAAATATCTTAGTTACTGGTATTTTGTTTGTTAAGATTTATTTAGCATGATTGCTACAATTACGTTCTTTTAAAAAACTAAAACAATTACATAACATACAAATATTATAAAAACAAAACTTGCATCTTTAAGAATTTTCACTATCAAAGAAAGGTTAATTTAAATTTTCTTTTAAACATCTTCAAATTACAAGTACTTTTTATATCATTATTTAGCTTATTAAATTCAAATAATCCTTTCAGAAATATTGATTTGTTAGTTATGTTAGTATAGCAATTTTATAAATGGAAATCTTTATTTACTCTTGCTTAATAAGTGTGGTGGTGGCTGCTTCAGTATGAAAAAAGCTTGGCGACTATCAAAAAAGCATTAAATCAATTCATTTTGAGAAATGGAAAATTTAAATAATTAGTTATTAGGTGTAGTGTAATTAGGTACTTGTAACATAGTATGTGTAGTGTTATGTTCATAGTGTTTTACATACGTGATGCGCTTCGTAATTATAAATGTTTTTATTTAGTGATGAAAATTTCAACTTTTAACTGCGCTTCCTTTTTATACAGAAACAACTATTATACTTATCGGTACTACGCTTTATCATTCATTCTCTTGGTAATTAACTGATTTTGAATAAAGCCTATTGATCGATTGATTCATAGTGATCCTGATATACTATAAATATCCCTAAATTTCTTTGGGTAGAAGGCAAAGTATTGCAAAAGTACACTCTTATAACTTAAACTCAAGCTTTCGAAGATCTATGTCTTCATCGTCTGGAGCTGGAAACAATGATTGACAATAGCAACAAATAACAATTAAGAGGAAAAATAGTTACTTACTAAGTCGGCGAGATTGTTGCTGAAATTGTTTTTAAAAAACAGTGAAGGGAACACATAGTCGACGAATAAAGAACTGGACTGATGAGGTTCGATTAGGACGGAATTATTTTATTATTAAATGGAAAATCATAGCTATGAGTTTTTTGTTTTTGAATTTTTTTTTTTACTTAGAAGAGCCATTTTATACTACAATGTCATTTTCTTTCTCTTCCCATCTGCGTTTCCTCAGGTTACACCCGTATCCGGATGTATGGGCATGTGTTATATACTTTTGTAGTTGCATAGTATGTGCATTCATTTCGGGCCTGATAAAGCCAATAAGCAGAAATACCTGTACGTATCGCTCGGGTTAAATATCCTATTTTCTGCTTGAATCCACTTTTCCTTCTTTTTGCGGATTTTGCCCATTATTTTTTCTATTTGTTATATATTCTCCTTTTCTTTTTGTAGATCCTTTGGGCTTAAAGTACCACGGCAAGTGGCTATAACCGGCCGCGTGGTTGTGGTATCCAGATGTATGGGCATGTGTATCTACTTTTGTAGTTGAATATGTTCATCCATTTCGGGGCTTATAACAAGCAGAAATATGTATCGCTCGGGTTATTGGTTATCTATAACATTTTTTTGGCTCCAATCCACTTTTCCTTCTTTTTGCAGATTTTGCCCATTATTTTTTTCTATTTGTTATATACCTTTCTCCGCATGATCCTTCTCTATGACTCGCTTTCTCTCTCTATATATAATATACCCTCAATACACGCACAATTTAAAGAGCAGTAAAGACATATCTGATCATGTAGTCAGAACATGTTTTCAATTTTGAATATTTGATAAAACATTGATGATGCATTTTTTACCTTGCTTCCAGTTTTTTCTTGGCCGTCAGCTCCCGCGGCGTTGCTCCTATTTGTTCCTGCCGATGCTGCCCCAACCGTAATTTGTAATGGAGCCGCCATGTCAGCCAAAGCACTACTGTGTCTCTCCTCAGCTCTCTCCTGTATGTACTGACGAAGTGTAACCCAAAACATTGTTGTATAGAGGCATTTGACAAATAAAGGAGCGCAAGGAAGATGGATCATTTTTACGAAGCCAATCTCTGCGAGATCTAGACCCTAGAAAATGTAATAATATAAATAATAATGTACTTGTTTTTTTCTCGTGACCAACAATAATATACGTTTATCCTAAGACAATATGCAAAAAATATAGCGCTAAGTAACGACGTTTCAGAGATATCGAATCTCCAGGTTTACAAAAAATAAGACAATATAAGGAATAAGTACGGTAACATTTGGTATAGTGCAGTAATGACCAGTTTCTTGTTAGCTTTAACTATATGCTCTTTTATCTTTGCCAGTTATTTGTCAATGTAACTCTTTACCAGAAAATATACATTACACACCTTCATTAAGAAGTAAGCTATACTTGTGAATAACCTTGTATCTTCAAGATCACTGTCGAAGAAAATGTTTTATTTATCAGCCTTCCACAGAAGACACATATATGAACCAGAAACGGATCCTATCATTTGAAAGAAAAAATATTCATACTATGTTTTCACAAAAATCGCCAATTACAACAAATAACTATTGTCGAACTATTACACTAGTAAAAAAATTAAGGGAGCACAAAAAATACCAGTTTTTCAGTAATTTTTGACAGGTTGCATTTTGGAGAAAAATGGTCGTTTTTAAGTTTTCCAGCCAAAACTTGTTTGTCTTCATCTTAGACCACGGACATCCTGTTTTCATGGAATATTCCAAAAAACAAAAATACTAACCAGGGGCAGAAAATGTTCCGTCTGACAGAAATTTTGGAGAAACCGTACAATGGATCTATCTGCCGTCGTGCACGGTTATTAAATGTACATTGAAAACCTAAAAGCGTTAGCCTTCTCATTAACAGTTCCAAAAATGCGTCGATTTTCTAAAACAAAGCAAAAAATAACTCTTTTAAAGTCAATAAAAAGAAACAAAAAAAATTCTCAAAAATCGCAATCAAATCTTCAAGCCCATGGACTAAAAAGAAGAAGGCAAAATTTTGCAAAAAAATTTCCTTGCACTATCTGTTAGAACTGCATGAGAACCGTTGCTCCTAAAATTTTTTGGCTAAAAAACCTAGATACTAGAATCTCAAAGCTCTAAGGTTTTCCTTGCTCCCTTAATTTTTTTGAGTAGTGCAAGACTTATTTAGCAATATGCTAGGCTTATAATAGCTTACCTCGAATGTTGCTGGTAAATCGACATCCACAGAGTAAATGTAGGCAGAAATCAGAAGAAACCAAGCGTATATGACCAGAAATGGACTGGATCTCAGCATTGATTTGCGTTGATTTGGTACTAACCAGATTAAATTGGCCCATATTAGCAGTACAAAGGTTAGCCAACTCAGGTATGTTATACTCCAAGCCTGCAAGAAATAAAACCATATACAGCATTGATCAAACGAATTCTATAAATAGTCTTAACCTGCTCATATCGCTTCAATCAAAACATAAATTTTGAATCTGCAAACAGGATTGACATAAAATTCCCTTTAAAAGTTTCACATGTCAATTTCATACTAAAGCATGTCCAATATATATTTTTCAAATTCGACCCTCACTATTGGAATCTCGGAAACTGTAAGAGGTACGAAGGTGCTCAAATGTAATCAACAAAATGCCGCTTTAAGTTTTTCCTGACCTTCTCTGAGCCTTGCCTCTGCTTATTTATGATTATTATTGTTATTACCATCAATAAAATTTTCATTTTGTGTTCAGATTTCACCATACCTTTTTATTTCCTTATAATTTTCATTGAACAACAAACTCGTGGCCAACTAAGGGAATACATCACTGAATTTAGGACTGAAAAGTCCATTTAAATGTACAAAATTCCAATATAGCGTCCATATGAAACAACAAAGTTGGTGGTAGAAGTCAAAAGAGGAAATGTCGAATTGAAAATTTGACTAAGCCATTTTGCAGAGGACAATAAGTAACACTGACAACACGCAATTTATTTTGAAATCCCATCTCAAATAAAGTCAGAAAAACATAAAAACGATTTTGGGATAAATCTGATACGCAAAACAAATAACTAAGGTTTGGCAATGTCAATGTATATAACGCATTTTTGGAATCAGAATTAAAAACTCAATTCATCTGTGCACAATTCAATATGGCGTCTAAAAGAAAAAATAAAGTTAATGCTGGAGTACAAGAGGCGAAACGTCATATTGAAATTCTAATTACGCCTTCTTGTAGATAAGGAAGGGTGGTAATGTTAATGTGGAATTTATTTTCATCGCACTACAAATAAAGTCAGGCAAAAATAAAAACGATTTTGGAAAATTTTTGTTTTTTCCGTCTCTCTCCGGAAGTACTTTGAGTATCGAAACTTACTAAGCTGCATTTTGTGAGTTACTTAAATACGCAACGTTAAGTGACTTCGTGTCTCTTACAGTTTCCGAGATGCCAATGGTGAGGGTCGAATTTGAAACACCGCCTAACACGATAAAAAACAAAATTAGCTTTCTTTGAGCATCTTAGGACAACAGACTACTTCTGTGAGTGTAATGGAATGTAGTCATGCACTCATTCTATCTGCCACCTTCATTTCTGCATGGACGTTTGTAAGAGTTTGTAATATGGATGTATGTGACTTCTCCTCAAGAAACCGGGCTTGACCTGATCAGACGTGACGCATAGATACCCACCATGACGACTGAACTGTAAATGTAAGCCTTTTTGTCATGTCAGCCTACCATTATGTCTTTTGAAGTAATCACCGATCAGTTTATTATTAAAATGTTATTGTATTATATCTGTCGATAATGGAGAGAAAAACAGTTGCTACAATTTATCATTCAATAAACGAACAACAACAAGCCTTTACCGAGCTTGCGTGGAGTACCGTTTGAATTAATTGAACAAAATATTTAAGTGGAAATTAAAATAAACAGCTTCCTTTTCATCCATTCACACCAGCATTCTTTAAATTAATCAGAATGTCTGGCGTATCAATGACATGAGTTTACTGTATACATGTTTCTTACCATCATGATGATATTTGTTCCTATGTAAGATGATCTTACGATGAGTTGTGCGATAGATTCCATGGCATAAAAGATGTTTTCCAAGACTGTAGGCTCATACTCCTGGTCTGTTGCACCTTACAAAAGATCCATGAAACGAGAAAGAAAATAAGGGTATGTTAGTTAAAATAATAAAAGTTGTGAATAATTCTCTCAAAAATATGCATTTTCAAAATACGAAACCCACGGTAGATAGTCAAACATCACAAATTGAGAAGTTTCAAATACCACGAATCGAAAACTATCTTTGATCGGTTCTGCTCTCTTAGGACTAAATGTAAAGTCGCTTGTCTTCTGAATCCGGAAGCTTCATTTGTCTTGATAGTCTTGGCATTTAGGAGTAATAGAGTTGTCGGAAAGGCATTTCCCAATATGAGGGCACCCTATAATCTCGAAAACAGGTTATCAGTTATCAGTTTTATGCTTGGGGTGAAATGTGTTCTCAACAGGCATAACCAAAAGTTTTTGCTTGCATATTCCTTTTTCTTGAGGAAAGTCGTGAAAAAATGAAGGTTGCCTTCTCCCTCGAGAAAGGTTTTTGCAGCACTTCTGACACTCCCAACCGTCAGAGATCTGAAGGTAAAGAATAAAGATGCCTCAAGTGGAAGTTCGAATATGCAATATGCATACCATACGGCCCTTAATCTCAAGATCGCTTCCGATACTGAATAATTAGATGGTGTCCAAATATGCCAAACAATGCGCAAAGGCTGGCATGGATATATGATAATCGTACGTTTCGCTTGTCAAGTAAGTTATGCAAGATGTAGTGCTTGTGGTATACGACGTCTTGTTATCGCTAAGCCTACAGGCATATAATCTTTTCCTCAAGCGAGTTGGTACGCGTTCAAACATTTTAGATTTTACTCATGCCAAGTAACTGACGGAACGTGACAACGAAAACAGAGATACGGTACCACTAACACACTACGTATTGCTTGACGATTTGAGACTGTACAAATAAAACATACGATTTGCATAAATGTCTATGCCCGCCCTAATGTGTTGTAAAAAATGGGGCCAAATGGGTTGATTCTGCACTTCCTACGCAACACCGTCATCAGTTCATAAAGGATTAAGTTCAGCACAAGTTAAACCCTAGGAGAACAAATTAGATACGAACAACAGAGAAATTAAACGGATCAAGTCAGTCAAACAAGCACATACAATTAGTCTAGACATTTCCTGCCCTACCGGTAGTTACCGTCCATATGGCAACGTTGCCTCTTTCCATATCGTCAGACGCGCCAGCGCCCACCGCGGCAATACGAGCACAACAGTTAACCAGATTCTTTATCATTCCAAGTTTTAAAGACAAATATACGGGGAAACCGGTGATGGGAGTGTATAAATATATATGAAGAGATAAAATGAATATACATCAACATTGAGATATACCCGTCCCCACATTTTACAACCAACCGCCATAGCCCCTAAAAAACGACATTTGAGCGTTTTTTTAATGTTTTTACCCGCCGCTACTAAACCGAGCTTCAAAAACTACAAAGCGTTTTCGTCCTTGGCATAGTAGTGACCTTGTATGAAAAGTTCATCCAAATCCGAACGGTAGTTGAGTTATATACGGGGCAAGGATTAGCGGACAGACAGTCGGAAATAATAATAATAAGTGACATGGTTTTTCGTGATGCACATATCGTATAACGTCAAAAAACATTATATCTAACTTTCAAAATTTTTAATCATTAGAATACTTCCTTACAGGAAGTAAAACTTTTTCATAGCTTACCCAACTCATCCAATGGTATATCTTCAGTATTGTCGCCAGTAACAGTCACGCTGCCTGTTGAATCTTGGAAGATACCACTCCTCTTTCCAGATCCATGCCTCTTCGAAGGACTTACACCTCTTATAAGCTGTGAAATATGAAAATTCGTGTTAATGCTATCTTTTCTGCATACTTATAGTAAATTTAGATTATTTATTTTTGAAAGATATATTCTACTTCAATCCTGCTCAGCTATCAGATGCTTTTAAAGCATAGTCATTTTATCAATTCCGGTTATATATTTTAGTGGAATTTCTGATCGACCCTATAACATTAATTTAATTCATGTATGTGACCTATAAATATAAGGCAAGCTAACTACTGCCATATTAATTCACGCTACATATCAGTAAACATAATTTCAAACGCATTTAACAAATGTATAAGATTTATTTATACCAACAATTATACAAAAGCAGTTCATAGGATAGTATTTTGAATTGTGTTCAAATTACTGTTTCAATAAATCTATATTTAAAGGTTTCATACAAAAGGTTTTGTTAATAAGCATTACTTTTTTGCAAAGAAGTTGTCATGATTTTATTTGTAAACATGAACCCAGACAAACTAAGAATCCTCCTTGTTTACGCCCTATTTCAATGATACCACTGTTACCCCTACAAATTAATAGAATAGAAAAAAAGGTGTTCGTTATCCCAAATTTCATTTTGGCATGCTGTTCATGCTTAGTGGTAACCACAACATTGGTTCTCAAAAACTTAAATAAATCCCTGCTAAAATGCAACTGAAATGCAAGCTAAATGAGTTAGAAGAGAAATGAATAGAAAAAATACATACTGGTGTCCTTTCACTAGGCTCAGGATCTGGTTTACTTAAAACACAAACGTCCTAAAAAGAATTGAGATAAAGCAAAGCATTAGGAAACAAACAGAAATGATATTAGTAAAAACTTTTGGTGTCAGTGTATCAGTGTAAGACATATGTCAATTTTGGATGTGTGAATATTTCCGGCCACATATCTTTATTGGAGCCAAGGGGAGTTAACTGTGACCACCTCTAATAAATACTATTTAAACGACGAAATGACGAGTACAGATATACCAATACCCAGAAAAGGTTATATTACTTTGACAAAAAAATATATAGTTATGAATATATGTAATGGGCAAAATAGGAGGTGATGAGTTTTATTTTTTCAATATAAATGGTTGTGTAAAATAATTTGATATCCTGCAAATACTAGCAACCAATTTATTGGCACAATTATAAAAAATACCATGGGAGTATATTACACTACTTTACTATTGTGGCATTTTTTAATAGAGGTCATGATTTATATGTCACACAAATGCAACTTAAGCTGGAGAGTGACCATTGCTTGTCAACCCACTACATGGTAGCCCGTTTCTAAAGTAAGCTTCAAATTGGTTGCTACTATAGTTGGTCACATCGAATTGATGATACAAGTACCATACTTCATTTTTGTATTTTACTTTGCATGCTTTAATAGGGAAAGTTGTTCATCAAAATGCTCGAAACTACTAGAAAATATTTAAAGTTATTAAATCTACATAATAAAATTACCAAAGACAAAAAGTATGGGATTCATAAGTAATAATATGAAATTGTCTTAAAGAATGTTCAACACGAAAATGAATGTCCAAACGGACGCCGCTAGAAATTTTTCTGGTTGTCTCCTGAATGATAACATACAACTCAATGCTTATTTAGTATAAAGAATCCTGGTTATGACCTAGAACCAGACCTATCGTATTTACACATCTCCAAAACGATATACACGGTGTTAGTAAAGTAAATGTCCAAACTTCAAGGATTGTTCCTTGGGTCAAGATATAAGGCTTCCAACTTGTTTTTTGAAACTTCGTTCTTTTATGAAAATTGTAACAATCCTTAAGTCGATTTTGTACAGATTTATCGCTGAAAAACTAGAATATATAAAATAAAAAAACGCATCAATAAAATCCAAACAGGTTAAGTGGAAAAATAACGAATTTATGATTGTAATGAAATATATTTCTTAAATAATTTTTGTAACATTTTTGGCTATACTGATACGATTATGCTAAATTTCAATAATTCTTGACAAAAACGGATATGTGGTTACTACGTTTTTTTCTGAAAATATCGAAATTTTCTTACTATCACCCAACGATTCATCTCCCGAAGTTTGTCCAGGCAATTCATTAGCTCCCACACACAATTAACGCGTACTTAGTGGATTTTCTTTGACGACAAGTATTCCGGGCTTAGAAGTTTTGAGGATATACAGTTTTGTGTCTAGTTGTGTTTAATGTGTAAATAAATCATAAAGAAGAAAACATACATATATAAAATGTATAAAAATACTGTAGTTTATAAAAATCATTACGATTGAAGCTTAGAAAGCGATATCGAACTAGCAAGCAACATGGTTTCCACTGAAAATGCAAAATGGGTTTTGAAAATATCAGTTCATCAGTCCTGAGAAGATATAGAAATTTACAAGGTATCCCAGTGTCAGTCGGTCTTTCCAACTCGTACAGAACACTTAACAGTAATATAACAAGTTCATATGAAAAAGTTAGAAGAGTCCCACACAGGAATATAGACTCTCTGAAGGGCGCTACCAGATTACTCCAAGCAAATTAAGTTTTTATATGGCAAAATCAAAGGACGAGAACTACTATAATGAAAAATAAATTAAAAATACATCAATTTAACCGCACTGCAATCAGGTTTTTGGGTTGTTTTTCTAAAAATGGTAGTCAAATATGACCTAAAACATATTTTTCCTCTTATTTCCTAAACTGTGACAGAAATAGCGTCGAGTAGGTTGACTGAACATCTGAGAAAAATGTAGGTCAAACAGGTCTAGCTCGGGTAGTCGTAGCACCGGGGGAGCGTATAAATGTACCAGCGTCAAAAAATTGAGATAAGCGTTCCCCATCCCTCTAAAACCCCCACTCCCATATTTTCTTACCTCTAAATTTTTTTTAAAAAATAATCAGGATCATCTGAAACGCAAAAAAACGAAGTTTGAGCATTTTATATTTTTTTGCTTTAGGCCTTTTTATCTGCCGCCACTAGACCGATTTTCAAAAACTACAAAGTTTGTGCATCTTTGGGATAGTAGTAACATTGTATAAAAATTTAATCGAAATCCGAGCGGCACTTCTCAAGTTATAGGCGGTTATCAGATTAGCGGACATACTGACAGATAGACAGACGGACATGAGTGACATGGTTTTTCGTGATGTTCATCTCATATAACATCCAAAAAACATGATCCCATTTTCGAAATTTTCGTTCGCCAGTAGGCGTGGGAAGTAAAAAAATATATAAAAGTTATGTAACTTTAAGGTATTGCAAAATAAAGCTGTTATTAGATGTCATTTTCAAATCTCTTGTATCTATTTTAAAATACAAATTTTGTGGCAAACATAAAGGTGCTTTCAAATTGCGAAAATATTGTAGAGTATGTTACAAAAAACGTTTCACGATAAAGAAGCATTTTCGTAAATCTCGTTTTGATCATACTGTAATGAACCTATACCAAATCACGTCCGCAATTATTCCTAAAGGGTTGTGTCATAATAACATGCAATTAATGTTTGCAAAGCACAAGGTTCACCGACATATTTCCAACTCGTTTGTTGTCATCAAGAAAAGATTGGTAGGATAAAATTATAATTAAGCGAAGCTCAATTGTGGCTAAGAAAAACTACAGGATGTTCAAGATGAGGATGGGATACCAGACAAGTTGCAGAATTAAATTACCTTCTACGTGAAGTAATGTATCTGTGTATTTTCCCAATTTATAATTATTGGAAAAAAGTATCTTGCTATTTCCCCGAAATCCGTAGAATTAGTTTCCACAAATAATTATAAATTGGGAAAAGACAGCACAAACCGGTAAACATGTAAAAGATTATTTATTAGGCAACATTGCATCTATAACCGTTCCCGAGACCCCGTGGTACCCCATCCTCACCGTGAGCATCAAGTAGTGTTTTTCTGATCCACATCTGACCTTCGCTGCATGATAATTTTTGATCTATTCTTCCACCGAGACACGTTTTGAAAAAGAAGTGAAAATAAAAAAAATCCATATGTAACGGTTTTTTGCAATAATTTTTTTATTGATTGATTGTCGTCGTCTTGATCTCAGTATGTCTGCAATGAAAAGCTATACAACTTTCATATGAAACATTTTTATTTGCAAACAGCTTCGAAAAATACGAGCGAAAAGTGTTTTGACCACCTTTGACCCCATTTTTATAAAAACCACACGAAATGAGCTGTTGCATTTTAGTTATCATATATTTGTCTTATTTTTCTATATGGTCGCTTCCGTCCTTAATTTTGTCAAAGAATTAGATACTTAACATAATTTTACTTAAATAACGTCTGGAAGACAATGCAAAGATTAACGACCGCATAACCAATCAGCGCCATATACGATGGAAACGATACGAAATAACTAAGTAGATGGTCAGGGGTGGACTAATCCTAGAGTAATATCCTTTTCACATAATGTATAATGTAACCCCTGCTGAGAAGTGCCGTGGCAAATTCTTGTTCCGGAAGTATTCAGTATATCTCAGTACCGATTGCCGGGCACAAGTCCGCCCACGGGCCACTTTAGGTCTATTCAACATAATTAACACGCAAAAAGGTGGTAGACAAGGACCAGTCGACCGATGCGGCACCACCCGCCAGCTTTTCCCAACGTGTCTTATAAATGTCCGCACGTTTCCACACCTAAGCTACGCACTCGGTTATCTTCCTCAACAAAAAAATTAATGATGATGGATCCCTCGAGTACTTAGAATTCCAAACTCTCTCCACTCTCGGAATATCCGGGTGGAGGGTGGACTTGACGGACCAACATCGAAGATAAAATTTGTTTCACAAACATCTGCGGAACTAACAGCAACATTGATGCTGTTCATCACTACCTACAATCCAGTCGCCCCGCCATGTTTTTCTTGGCGGAGAAAAAAATTCCAGAGTAACTTTCCAAATTACGAGGCGCACTCCAATCTGAGATAGGACGGAGGAGTTGTAGCTATTGACCGCAGCAGTCTTTCCTGTTTCTTTGGAATCAGACCGGAAGGACATTCTGTGACCTCGCGTCAACTCCAAAACATCCCCCAGACTTGCCTTTATCGCTCTCACTCGGATCATATCTGGGATTACCTACTTGAATACCTCGCTATCAAGATCGTCTTCCTGAACATCCATCACCCCGCTTCAAAGGTAATTATCCTCCATCATTTCAATGCCCATAATGAGCTTTGGTTGGGTTCAAACAAGACCGATGCAGGTCATGCAGTTGAAGCATTCGCTCTTACTCAAGGACTGACCCAGCTGGTGATGAGCCCTACTTTTCCTCCGCGTCTCGTCATATGCCAGTAGCGTGCCGGATCTCTTTCTGACCATGCATCCTGTCCCGTACAGTACTGCTGTCCTGTCTCCCCTGGGAAACTCAGATCACGGTGCTGAGGAGCTTAGGTTTCTGTCAAAACCCACTATGGCAGCAGAAACTCGCCCAGACCGCAAAATTTGGCATTACGGACATGTCGACTGGAAGGGGCTGTTTGTTTCGGTGACGCGAAAATGTCAGCTGTCTCTTATTCGATAACCGAAATTATCCACGTCGGGATGGAGGAATACATCCCTCATACAGTGAAAGTGCCAAAACCAGGGTTCAGCGGCTGGTTCAACAAATCGTGTGACACTGCTCGCCAGCACAAGATCAAGGCATACATAATCTTCTTACAAAACCCCACAGTAGAGAACAGACAAGCACGATATAAAAGTTAGGTGCAGGGTGATGTCGCAGCGCAATGGCAGTCGGTCTTTCTGAGCGCTGGCCAAGCAGATTGAAAGGAACTTGTAACAGAGTAGCCTTCCACCATTTACATGTCAGGATGGAACGATTTTAACCGACTCAAAGGCCAAGGCGGAAGTGCTTGCCAAGATATTTGTTGCTAACTCCACCATGGCAGTCAAAAATCGGATTAACAAAATTTCTTTGGGATTCTCATAGCAGCCGCAGTGTCCTGGCGCATTTAGGATTTTGCCTGCGTAGATGCTTCGATATATAAAAAAAGTCTTTATTGATTATGATACTTGATTCAATATGATGGTTCGGCTATTTTGCAGTTCCGCTATCAGATTCGCAAGAACAAATACAAAAATCCCCATAATCTAAATAAACTGAGGATCAGTCACAGAATGGACGAATAGAAACAATATTGGATGAAGACTGTTTTTCTCAAAAACGGCTATTTTAGATATGCCAAAGAAAGCACATTTTCAACTCAAGGATTAAGCTTTCTAAAAGGATCACCACTTAGCCCTTAGTATGCTGGTCGTAAAAATAGCAATATTGCGTTATACTAATTGGTTATTATGCTTTTAATCTTTCGTTTAGTTGACAGTGGCTTCCAGGAGTTATTAAAAAAAAGTCACCGGAGTGTCCCACGATTCTATATCTCCGTGGTGGAGCTAGTTACGAGATTATAGGAATCGAATTTTTTTTGTACTACTTAAGCGGGACAACCTGTATATTACTTTTGTCGATATGTCCTATTATGATGGTCTATAAAATGAAGAGTATAACTATGAAATATACCTCACGAAAATTCTTTAGTTGAAATAAGCAAAAAGTAATTTGCGTTGGTCGAATGACCCATACTCAGCTATAAGTGGTAGGGAGAAACACCGGCAGGGGTATTACTTAACTTGAAAAGTGACATTATATAGGTTTTTTGGGACAGTATGTAGGTTTTTCTACAAGATGTCACTAGCTGTTGTTCACTTAAGTGCACTCATTTTTTAGCTGTATGTGTTGCTTAAACATCATGACGCTTCAGCTATCAATGTTTTTCTCTGATGTGATGGAAAATCTACTCCAGAGATGGCATTATTGGAGGTCTAAGCTGTGAACTGTATACTATAGTTGGAAGGAAACCGCAGGGTTTAGGTGCATAGTGAGGATTTGTGTGCTAATAATCTGCGTTGATGATAATTCACTTAGTTCCTTGTCTCAAATAAAATTACTTGAGATGTATGCTTCATCCTGGAAATCGCATATGCAAATTTGCTGGATTTAAAAAATGAGAAAGATAACAAAATCTCTGATTGGTGAGAAAATAGGGTACAGACAGGAATATTTATGAAACGTGAAAAGGTTATTACATTTTACATTATTTTTACGTGAAAAATACAAATCAGCGCCAACATGTGAGGCACTGCGAAAATGTTTTGTGTGTGACGGGTCATTCCTATTTTTCTGTGCAGTGACTTGATTACACACAACGCGAGCTCAGTGGTGATTTCCCGTAATGCCGTGTTTTTGAATACACAAAAAACTGGGGAAAATTGTAATTTACAACTTGGGAGCGTTCTTCGTAATTCATAACTTTGAACATAAGCTCTCTTCAGAAAGGACAACACATATAACCCGTCTGGTACAGCTAATATACTTTACGGGCAGCACATTAATAACTTTCTCACATAGCAAATATCACTGATTTTATACACATGCAGACCAATATACACAATCACCACACAATCATCCAGATGCGATCTTGCTATTCAACTAATTTTCTTTCTTTCACACCTTCTCAAAGATATATGCTTTATAGACTATCTCGGCATCCTACAACCAACAAAGCACGCTGGCATGTCGTTGAGTAATTCCTCCGTAGATGACGCTCTTAACGAGCATTGACTTAATGAACTAGCAGCAATCTAGTTAGAAAGTTTAGATTTTGTCAGTTTTTTTTACATTCTATAGATTTTTTTTTCGTAATAACCCTGCCGGTGGATAATTATTAAGCTAGAAGCCTAATATTCAATTTCATTCAAGTAAAAGAGAATATTTATATTCTCAAAACCCGCCTTCCAAAAAGCGCACCAAGACAACAGCGAAAGAAGCAACGACTCCATCCTACAGCGGCCGTTCAAGCCACGCCTACCCTGACTTTGCGGGTGGCGCTCTGCCACCTGTTGCGCGTGGTGGGTCGACGCGTGAGAGATGGCACCGTACTGCGCGCAGATAGGCGAGTAGAAACGTGTCTGGTCAAGCTGCCGCTTTCCAAACGGCTGAAGGGACCCTGTTTCTTTTGCAGCTGCAACAGGGGTGGTTATTGGTGGTAATGAGGTTAGTTACTGGGTAAGTAGGTAAGCAGTTTCTAAACATTAGTGGAAATTGTAGTTTTGATTTCATAATAAATTAGAACAATGGAATGTCGTGCTACAAAATTAATTTATTAATACACCAATATTGGAGAAGTAAAATTTAATTCACTAGAGATACGAAGTCGCTTAAATGGTTGCGAATTTACGTAATTAAGAAAATACCGCTTGAATGAATGAAACACGAAATTACGCATACCGGCCACCATAAGGAGCTAGCACATAGACCACTCAGACGGGCCCTTGTGCACCTCCACATTTCTTAGACCTCAAGCCTCGCCATTCTAGCGAAGTTGAGTATGGCCTTGAGTCCAAACTCCTTAACGTCCTGGGGGTCCTGGACCCCAGTATAGTCTGCCTGTAGTAGCTAAGAGCCTCGCAGCGACGCAGAACGTGCGCCGAGGTCTCTGCTTCTACCCCGCAGCGCTCACACAAGGGATCCTCAGACACACCCATCACGCGCAGATGGCGCCGTAACGTGTTATGGCCAGACAACAGTCCCACCAGCAACCTTAAATTGGCTCTATCCAAAGATAAGCAGAATCGTCCATCCAGTTCTCGTGCCTGACTTAGATGTCTGGAGATGCTTCTCCATTTCTGAGAGTGTTATCTTGCAATCCACTTCTATATTTTCCTGCTAGATCTTAGCGCGGGCACCCCAAAGCTGGGTCAGGACCAACGAGCTTGCCGGCTGATGCTGTCTTCGCTAGAGCGTCCGTCGTCTCATTGACACTCACGATACCGGATGCCACGCTGCTAGACAATCCAGAGCCTCCCTGCATTGCAACACAAGACTCAAGGAATCTTACAGGCACTTAGGCCCATATCGTCGTCGTCCCTACAATTGTAGGGCGCGTTTATGACCTACTTGATTGTCATACTCCTTTCTCTCCATAAAAAATTTCTAGATTACACTTGCCCCGTGTCAGCGCTCTCCTATTGTGAAGATATGTTTTCTTTTTAAATTGTAGGAAATTTCAGGCTGATAAAACATGATATAACTCAAAAGCAAGCACAATTTGATGCAAATAGGTGTTTGTGACATAACCTCAAAATAGAGCGCTAACACGGAGAAGTAGAAAACTATGACAATCAAGGAGGCCATAAAGGCGCCCTACAATTGTAGAGACGACTGACGATACGGGCCTTAGAGCCTTCATTGCAGCCTGGCTGTTGGAGAAGATTGTTATTCTTCTCCTAGGTTCACCCCCTCCAAAATGAGGGATAGACAAGCCAAAATCGCAACGATTTCCGCCTGGAAAATCGTGGTGTATCCACCAAGGGGCAGAGATGGCCTAGTCCTAGGACCCGAGACCCCAGCGCCGGAGCGCCAGAAACTTTCTAAGCCGCATTTTGTTAATTGCCTAAATACGCAACTTTGCCCTCATTTGAGCGACTTACCGTTTCCGAGATCCCAATGGATTTGAAACACGCGGTAGTTAGTCCATAAGTATAGTCTACTGTATTAGTTGCAATAATATACGAGGCGTGTTTTTAAAGTAAGTACCGTTTTGACCTAAAAAAACAACAAGTAAATTTTGTCCAAAAATGATTTATTCACTTGAAAGGCCATACTTTACTCTACTTTTCTACGTAATTCCCATTACGCTTGAGGCATTTATCGTATCTTGGGTCCAGCTTTTGTATGCCATCGTCAAAGAAGCTTGCCGCCTGAGTAAACAACCACTGCTTCACATTTTTTGCACTCAGCGTGAACACAGTTTCCGATAATTTAAACGTTCGAACACAATTCGTAAAGAACACTTCTTGAGACAGCAGGAAACTGTTCAGCTAAGGACGAAATCGTGAATCGTCTGTTCGCTTTCACTTTACAGTCCACTTTTTGAATCAGGTCATCGGTAATGACTGAAGGTCTTCCTCATCTTTAAAGGCCCTAACCCATTTCCGCACCATTCCATCGCTCATAATGTTTTCACCATACACTTCACTGACTTGGTGATGAATTTCAACGGATTTGAAGCTCTGTGCACAGATACACCGTATTACAGCACGCATTTCGCAGTCGGCGGGATTCACAATCGGTGGAGGCATTTTAAAATCACGCAAACAGATGTAGACTCGATCGGATGGTTCCGTAACGGCGTCTGTGGCTACCCAACAGATGTAGCTACACGACGCGCGTGCGCTAAACGGCGACCGCAGCGCTGCGGCGGCGTAATTTAAACACGGTACTTACTTTAAAAACACGCCTCGTATATTACGAGTTATTTTTATCACGTTTATTTTGAAATTCATAATTTACTACACGCCAATTGTCGTTGTCATATATAATAACGATATGATATCAATACTAAAATATTGTGAACTTACTGGAATTCAAGAAAACCAAGGTAATGCAAATAAGGTAATGCAAATGTGAAAATATATATATACTACATCATAGAATTTTAAGACAAATCTGTTATGATATCTAAAACAATCTGACATTGGACAAAATTTAGTGAAATGGAAAATCAAAAAACGTATTGAATTTACATGTTTATAAAATTGAGTTGTTGAATTGTTTACTAAACATAAAATTGAGTATTATTATGTTAGTAACAGATCTGAAATAAAATATTGAAAATCAAAAACTTCCACTTCCAGATTATCAAGCATCAGAATGGATTCGAAGAACATTACGTTACCATAATAGTTCAATGGCTCAGATGATAACAAAAAGCTGAAGGTGGAGGTTTGATCCTTCCCAACAGAAAAAAATGTTTCAAGTCACTCAACTGAAGCAAGGTTAACATTATATTAGATAGCTTCTAACATGAAAATGATAATGCCTAACACATGTATTGTTAAATTGCATGTAATGTTTAATTCATAGCAAAACACACTAAAATAAAGCTGTGTTAAGATGTATCATGATCCGATGGCGAGGTTCATTCTCTTGAACTGAAGCATATAGGCAAATCGACGAAAACCACTCAACTTTTTGTTGTAAGTCTCGTGGTGTTTTATGACAAAATTGATCAAAATATCACCTCGTTATGTCTTCACACTACTGCAAACCCAATCCTCACAACAGTGAATCAAACTGACACATCGATTAATATTAAGTACTTACCTCAGGTTTAAGCAGTTCTTTAGCCTCTAGAATTAAAAGATAGAAGAGCATGTAAATAGCTATAGGATTCACAAATGCAGCCCATTCTAGGTCAGAGTAAACAAATACTCTGGGATCTGAGTGTTCTTCGATTCCAGTAGAGTTAACATCTTCTGTTGTATTATTGGTCAATACCAAGACTGTTGTGATCTCAGCTGATTTATAGACAGTTTGATTATAGAGAGGTGTTAGGCCAAACAACCTGGAATATTAATGAATAAATAATTATATTAACGTGTGTTTAATAAAAAAGTGAGTTTTTTAAGGCTTGTGAAACGACAGCTCATTTTTGCCAGGACCTGTATGCCGTATACTTCGAAAGATAACAGAAAAAACAAAAACTTTTAGCATTTGGGTATTATTGTATCGAAATCGTGAGTAAAAAAACTATTTTGTGAGGTGGGAAGAAAAACCATAGAAGGAAAGTGTGTTTTAAGTAATCTATGGATACTCGTGTTCATCCCAACATAATATCTCGGACGTTAAGTTGCTGTTTATGGCCCACAGCGTGAAACGCGTCAAGGAACATAAAGGCCTATTATGCTCGGGACACATAGAAACCAATTTGAAGGTAGTTATGGGCGAATCTAGTCACAACAGAAATACGTGGGCTTGATGCGTTGAAAACCTATTCATAAGGTACAGCTTACCGTTCGGCGTAGATAAAGTTTATACAGCGACAGCTTACACTTCCGCTGCGTTAGCTAAGCAGTAAGTAATGTCATTTCTTTATTGAATAGTACTGTTATTTAGTCTGAAGATTCTTTCAGTTCAGTAGTTTTATTTGCGAAACTTTGTATAGGCTGTGTAATCTCGTTCACCTATGGTAACATATTTGTCCAGTTTTCTATTCTAATCTATTTTGATACTAAGATACTTTAGGAGAATATATTATGTCCGTTTAGAAAATATGCTTGCCATAATGATGACTTCATCTGGCAGTTTGACTTACCTAGTGTAATCTGTATCATTTATGAGCAGTTCCTGCATCCACTGCAGCTGATAGGCGTATAGACAAAACAGATGGGCTACTACGATGGGAGCCAGGCATATCATAATGACGGCAAAGCCCTTGCGAAGTTGCTTGCAACCTGCCCACCAGGTTGCTGTAGATAGGAACACTAGGAAATACAGACCTCCAGATACTGAAGGTCGGAGGACGGCTGCCATGCATAGAGCGAACAACACGCAAAATCTACCTGTATATAGAGAAACGATTGTTCATACATACTTTATTAAGGTCATTTTCGTCAAGTGTCACCACAAGATAAACTATTTACCACGGTAATTCAACAAGTTAAAACGTGAGAAAACAGCTAATCATTTAGTGACATTCAAAAACCTCATACCATATTACCAATTATTGTAAGTTGTTTAGATTAGTTTTTGTGATAATAAGACAGAATTTCATCTGATCCACTATCACCAACAGTACAAAATACGAGGAGACATTTACGAAGCACCCGTTAACATGCTGGTATTGTGGTAAAATTGACCCTCATACGTAGTACACCCGAACTCAGACTTGAGAACTGTAGAGTAATTTAGTAAAACCTCATTGGTCAAAATTATCAGGTATGCACCGAGTACTCGGTTTATACCCAGTACTCAGCCTACTCGGCGCATTTTACCGAGTACCCGGATTCGCAGACATGGTTTGAACGCAAGACACACAACGTATGTAAATTGTGTGTACCAGGAGAAGCGTTGCCAAGCAACCCGGACACAGCTGCAGCTTGCCGCGTTGCCATCAGCGCATTCTTTCTAACGTATTGCAAGCTCATAGCGCTTCTTTCTCGTACACATCACCTCGTCAGTGATATTTGGATTTATCTGTTTATTTTCCAAAAAATTAATGCAGCACTAAAAAGTAGCTCAGGTTACAGCATATTTTTCTCTAAATCGATTTGGACCATCCTTTTTAGTAATTTTATACCGTCTTCTCCGGTATTTGCATTGCTTGTTTTTATATATTTTTCGTAAAAAACTCGATAGGTCCATGGAACAGCTACTGTTGCTGTATAAACTGGAACTACATTGAATTTTGTATCTTCATTTAATCTTTCATCTTTCCTTTTGAAGACTTAAAAAATAACAAAAACGACTAAACAAACAAAACGCAGTAAAAGAATAAAAGTAAGATAAATCACAAGTTTCCTATTTTTCTGTAAAGAAACATCTATACTAAATACTCATACGTAATGATAATTTAGGTTTAGTTCTTTCAAATTTGAATAAGTCTCGTCACAGCAACAATTTTAGTTTGTGTTTCTTCGTGATGGTCATGACGTGACAGGGGTTTTGTTAGGCATTTTTGAAATGACAGGTACGTATCTTTCGAATGTAAGACTTTCACCTACGACTAAAAGTTCCTCAAGTCAAAATTACCATCCTGTCATGTGAATACTTGGTCCAATATTGTTTTTACTGTACACAGCTGATATTTATACGGTTATTTATAGCTCTTCTCTGGTATCTTACACAGTTGATATGCAAATGTCTTTTAGCCCCGATTCTACATATCAATCAGTATATGAAATTAATTCGGATCTTGAAGAAATTCTGAGATACTCTAAAGATAATAACCTTGAATTAAAATACTGATAAATGTAATCTTATGCTCACCCTTACCCATAAAATATTAACTATACTACACATGCTGAAATATTATATTTCCCTTAGATACTGATATTGTTATTGGAGTAGATTGAGTGGAATAAATTTATCTAGACTCAGCCGATAAGGAATGTGATGTACATTTTTGTATTTCAATGAAGACATTTTATTATTATTATTAATAATAATAATGTTTTACAAATGTGCCTCTATTGTAAAAGAAAAGATTGAAGATTATACCAAAAGCCAAATGTTTGAATAATATAATGCCAAAATAGTTTAGCTCAATATTGTAGCTGCTGAATTCCACAGTGTCTTGAATTTTGTGAATAACATATACCTAGCAGTAGCAAGTCTCTAAATATTTACGTAAAAAATCATCAAAGTCGTACAACAAGCGTTAACCACTTCACCAAGTACCCGGCCGCGTACTTGGTTCTCGGTATTCGAGTATGACCGAGTTCCGGTACTCGGCTTTTTTAAAGAAGTAGCACGCGGTCCATCCCTAGAAATTAGCAGACAAAACATTTTTGATACTACGCGTCTATAATAAGGTGGTTGCTTTTTAGGCACCCTTTTGAAGTAACATAACATGAAAATAGCTCAACGATGCTGTGCGGAACACGTAACTAAAAGATTGGCTTTTCGCAACTCAAAATATTCGATCTTCAAGAATGCAGTTTTAACGTGAGAGTTAATTCTATTTAAGAAGTTTGGTAGCGTCACAATTCTCCAACTTCAAAATAAAAACCATGAAAACAGTTTTAGGCATTTCTGATAGAAATTCAGTATCATGAATCATCTTTGGAATAATAGGGGGATCGACAGCTAATAGAAGGAGGAATGAGAAGGTAAATACATCAAAGAAAGCCACTTATGAAACATAGAGAACAAAAATAGTTTGTATGGCGTGATGGCGTTATTAACGGATATAATTAAAAAAGAGATAATTTTGCTGCTATTGGCGCTAATGAGGGTGTTTACGTGCAAGATATGCCTAAAAGATACCCATAATCAATGTTTGGTAAATAAGAACTAAATGGAAACAGTTTTTTTTGGCAAATCTACCAACGGAGCAAATTAAGAAAAAGAACATAGCAGATAGCTATATTAACTACTTCACTTGCTCTTTTTATTTGCTCCAACACAGACACGAAATATTGGTATAGACCACGCATAAAAATATCAACCAAGGATCACCGGGAAGATTAAAAAAATATATATTGCCACACCTGTTTGCAGCTGCAGGCCCCACACGGAAGAGATTGCAGAAAATTAACTCTAGAAAAACTTTTTTGACTTCTAATATCAAAAATTAAGTCAAGCTGAAAAAAAGGTTTTTATGAGATTCCTGAATTTTTTGTTTGAATATGGAGGAGAACTCTAAAAAGGATGGAGCTAGTGAGGGAGTGGAGAGTGTGGTCTCACCGAGTGAAAAGGGATTTTGTACAGAGGAAGTTTTGAAACTAAAAGATTATACCATTTCAATTCAAGAAAAATTAATAAAGGAATTGTACGAAAAGATAGACCAATTAAACAAAAAAGTTGGGAAGATGCAACAGCCGTCACAAGAAGCAATTACAACTTACTCTGATATGGTTAAAGCTTCAGGGCCTTCAACCGTTAATTCGCCTACAACAATGGTAGAATATAAGCAGCAATGCTTACCATTGCAAACACGTACAGCAAAAAACAATCATCAGTATTAAAACCCACAAATACAGTCATTGTTAAGCCGAATAACCAACAAGAGTGTAATAACACAAAGAAAGGCATCGCAAATTTTGTGAATCCTACCAGTTTGAAAATTGCTATTGAAAAAGTTTATGAATTGAAGGATGGTGGGGTGAAAACCCAATGTAAAACAAAAGATGATATCGAGAAGCTACATAAAGAAATAAAATCAAAAATGCCAGAAACATATACAGTGAAAGCTTCAGAGATAAGTAAAAAACCACAAATCAAAGTTTTTGGATTTTGTCAAGAATATGCAGAAGACGACCTTAATAAATACTAAAATGAATCTTTTCAAGAAAATTCACATATGACAGTAATTACAGTCAAGAAAATGAAAACTAAATATCAAGCAATTTTAGAAGTGGATCCTGTGACTTTTAAGTGTGTTATGAATCAGGGTGTTATTTTTATCGATTTGTCTGTTTGCTCTGTTTTCGAGTACATCATATTTTGCGATGCTATAAATGTACCGGATTTAACCACACAGCTAAATACTACACAAAGTCAGGAAGATGTATTACTTGTGGATTAGAAGGACATTCAACAGAAAACTGTAGTACCAGTGAAATGTACAAATGCTGTCCAAATTGTAAAAGTGCAAACCAGGATTTTAATCTAGGATTACCTATTAATCATGGACCATTTGACAAACATTGTGGAGTATATAAAAGGAACATTGAGCGTGAGAGGGAAAAAATTAGTTATGCAAATGAATAGCAAATGCTAAGCCCAGATTTGCAAGATATGGCTAAATCTGTAAGTGATGAATATAACTCAATATACCATTTAAACATACAAGGAGTCCTGAATAATATAGATGAAGTTCAACGGTTTTTAAGATGGAGAAAACCACTTGTATTATGTCTTTCCGAAACACATGCTACAGAAGACATCACTGATGGTGAATTACAAATTACTAATTATAAAACCTACAGATGCAACTCCAACTCCGGACATACTGGAGGTGTAGTGATTTATGTTTACCACAAAATACAGATCAAATTATTCGATTGTACCACTTTAGACTATGCATACTGGTATGCACATATACAGTTCAAATTATTTGGGAAACGTTATGATCTTTGTACTTTTTATCGTTCACCAAACAGTGACGTTTTTTGAAGAGAAATGCGATGAAATGTGGAATTTTAGAAACAATATAATACTTTTAGGTGATTTTAATTTAAATTATGATAAAAGCATGAAAACAAGAAAATTGGAAGAAACCATAAATAACTATGGGTTCAAGCAAAACATTGAAGAGAGTATCAGAATAACATCATTATCAGAGACTTTGTTAGATCTTGTTATTGTAAATTTCGAATGTGCAGGGATTAAAGCGGTACATACACCGAAAGTTAGTGATGCACAGTTGGACAATGCTGCCCTTAGTAGGGCATTTTTCTGATACAAAAATTAAGAAAATCGTAAGTACTATTAAGTACGAAAAACTTGAACGAGACCTTGCTGGCTGCTATTGGAATTTTGGTGAGAATATGAAAAAAATATTTGACAACATAATAGGAAATATAAAAACTTGTTTAGATCTTGCAACTGATAAAAAAGTGATTTGCTCGACAAAAAATACACCCTGGTATAACAAGAATATTAAGGCAGCTCAAAATTTGAGAGACAAACAATAAATGAATATTCACAAAATCAAATGATGATTGGGAGGTATATAAAACTCTTAGGAATAAATGTGTCTATGTCATTAGAGAAGAAAAAGGAAATTCTACGATAAACAAATCGATAATAACAAGTGCGACAGTGTAAAGATGTGGAAGACTTTAAAAAGACTGATCAAATCGAAGCCGCATGATTGTGTAAATCAAGTTCAATCCGAAAACGGTACCGAAACAAATTCTTTGGTGATTGCAAACAAACTAAATGAAAATTTTGTGGAAAGTATTGTTGATATTGTGGGTACTGCCAATGCTGCACCTGACTATATGAAAATCAGTTTCCAGGGGGAAATGTTGCATACACTTTCAAAATTTCATAGCGTATTATTGAATTATCTAAGAAAAAAGTAAACAGTTTAAAATCAAATAACAACTGTGCCGAAATCACTACTAAAAACGTGCTGAAAAACTATTTCGAAATTTTGGGATATCCTGTTTTAAATTGGATCAATTGTTCACTGAGAAGCAGTTCTTTTCCAGAAAATTTGAAATGCTCTACAATAATACCAGTTCCCAAAATAAAAAATTCTAAAAGATGCAGCGATATGAGACCAATAAATGTGTTACCAGACATTGAAAAATTTATTAGAGTCCATAGTGCATGACCAATTAATGCAGTTTATAAAAGAAAACAAAATTTTAGTGGAGGCGCAAGCAGGCTTTCGAAAAAAATATTCCACAGAAACGGCTTTCCAGTTGGTAACTGAGAATTGGAGAAGAGCCATAGACTCAGAAGAAGTTGTCATAGCAGTACTTTTGGATTTGAAGAATGCATTTGAAACGATTGATAGAGATATTTTGTTTGGTAAATTGAAGGCATATATACCAGGAAGTGTTTTAGATTGATTTAGAAATTATTTGCCTGAAAGGATGCAAGTTACAAAAGTTAATGACACTATTTCATCAAAAATTGAAAATAGTTGGGTGTTCCACAGGGCAGTATCCTAGGACCACTTCTTTTTATTTTATACATAAATGATTTACCTGCCGAAGTCAAAAAATGCAAAATTCAGATTTTCGCCGATGACACTGATTTATATAAGTACTAAAAATAATCAGGCTGGTTTCTCTTATATAAATGAAGACTTGAAACTTGTCTCAAAATGGTTAGCATCTAACAGACTAAAATTAAATACAAGTAAAACGAAAGCTTTGTTAATCGGAAAAAAACAATGTACAAATGTTCGAATGAATATTGATGGTGAAGATATTGAATTCGTAGAAAATTTTAAATACCTGGGGATTTTTGTTGACTCTCGATTAATTTTTGATATTCATTATGAAAAAGTTATAAATAAGATTAGTAGTAAAGTGGGATATTTATCGAGAGTTTCTGGATGTCTGAGTTCATATAGCAGAAAAATTATCTATAATACCATCATTCTTCCAAATTTCTTGTACTTTCTTCTATATTTAGCAAATAATTCCATTTCTGAAAGACTGCAAATTTTACAAAATAAGTGCATGAGAATAATACTGAATAAAGATAAATAAACTCCAATTAGGCAAATGCTTAGCAAATTAAAACGGCTCAATATAAAAAAATGTATCCAATATATTGTAATGATATTCATTTATAAAGTAAAACATAATATATTTCCTTCAAGTCTAACTAATTTAACATCATCAAATGTCGACCATCATTTACATAATACCAGAAATAAAGATGACTTCCATTTAATGACCAAAAAGTATAACATATGCTACAAATCTGTATTCCATCAAGGGTTGATTGAATATAATAAATTATACTCAGAGATAAAAGACCAGAAAACTTTGATAAAATTTAAAGTACAATTGAGAAATCTACAATTATAGGTTGCCCAGCATTTACATCATACATCATATGGCTTGAATTTACTAGTTCTAAGTTGTTTACAATTATTCTGTTTATGTAGCCAAATGTGCTAAATAAATCTTTCTACTACTACTACTACTACTACTACTGAATACAAGCCGTCATTGGAAGTACCCTCCATGTGATAAAAATTCTTCATTTCCACAAAATATGCATTTATTTATCTTCAACTGTAAAAATTTAGTAATGTAGTCCCAAAAAAATGAATCAAAATAAAGCTGATAAAAAGAATAACTCAAAACCGTAAAAACATACAGGGATTTCCATTTAATTTTTTGGAAAAAATTCCATAATGCGTTCATAGATGGTAAAGAAATAAAAAAGTTTGAATGACGAAAAGCTACTGAATATGAGGCAAGAGTGCTGGCTCAAGCTATCCAAATTAGGTGTTTTTCGGACAGAGCATCCCGTAGTTTCAGAAGTAGCGGTCTTCAGGGTTTACCCTGTAGTGTACTATGTCAAAGTTATCATGTCAAAGAAACCGTTCCAAATATAGTAAAACATTCAGGATGTTTCGTATGTGTTGCCACGGAACATTATGAACCACACAGTGGAGAGCGGCATATTTTACAAGTAAGAAATGGATCTTTATTTATAATTTTTACAAATAACTTTTTTAGAAAACTATACATATATAAATGTAAAAGTCTATTCAGTTTGTCAGCATCACGTCCAAACCACAATACGGAGAGACGTAAAAATTTGTACTTACTAATTGATACCCGCGGGTGATAATAGGCATGGTTTTATCCTCGGACTCATCGTCGATTTTAAAAATTTTACAAGCATAAAACATTGTTTTTAAGTAATGCTTTAAACTTCCAAGCACGTTTTGTATCTTTGAAGGCGGTAGTAAATTGGTCACCCAACTTGCATGCTTAGGAAATGTGGTTATTTTGTTAGTGGCATCACCTACATGTTCCGCCGGTAAAACGGCGAGACAGAAAGCCAGTCTTGTATAAAGTTCTTCAAAATTGTTATTGTGGGAGAAATTTCATTATTTACTAATACTAATAAATTGAATGGCCTACCCACACTAACGAATAATCCATAACTCTTTTTTCTCCTCTCTTTAGCTGAAGTGCTTCTTGTGGTGTCCCCTGCTCCACTTGAAGGGTCCTCAATAGCTAGTAGTACAGGTGACGGAGCTGAGAGCTTGCGAAGTGTTACCAGAAAAGACACAGAGATAACCAGCATTAAGATTTCTGGTGACAGCCACACAATGACGTCTCGGTAAGATAAGGTGTCTATTCGCACCAGACCCATATGGCGGAGCAGCTTCTCCAGGAACGGGTCCGACTGTAATGGAAAATGTAGTGACTGCAGGAGTTTTGCATATTAATAATTTATATATAGTGTGGCCCAACGAAAAGGTCGCACCCCCATTTGTGACTCTCCTGGTACAAACGCTCGGACACGACAATTTTGATGTCTAGGGGGACTTCTTTTCAGCTATAGCCGTACAATACAGAGCGATCCGATAATAAGATATTGCGTTACACTTTCAATTTTTAAATGGAAACCCCAATTTTTTTTTAATGTTTAGATTTTCCATGAAGTTTTTAGTAACTGTTGTATAATAAAGTTTATACCAATATTCAATCGTTGTGAAGCTATTTGAGTTTATAATAAAATTCGACTAACTTAATACTGATAATAATGAAATGCACGGCAAAAAATAATATTCATGGATATCAGCAAGAACATTTAGCATCAGTCAGTGTCATCGTATGTCAGAAAAATTTTGTCTTTCATTTGAAATTGTCAAGTTACCTACCTAGTTGTGATAAGTATTTAACAATGACTTATTCAATTCAAGAAAGGGTAGAAATAAAACTATTACCAAAATGGTAGCATTGCAGCTACTGTCCGGTTAGAAATGAAACCTTAGAAATAGCAGTTTTGGGACACGTAGCACTTGACAACGTCCAAAGCACTCGTGGACTGGCCACTTCTTCAGGATTTACACGGTCAACAGTACAAAGAATTTTGAAAGGCAATAAATTTTAGCCGTACAAGATAAAACTTCTCCATGGGCTTAATGAAGACGAGTTTGACAGAAGGTTGGAGTTTTGCGAATTAATGTCCCAGCGTTTAATCAACAATGTAAATCTGTTATTTAATATTTGTTTCTCGGATGAGTATACATTCTATTTACATGGTGCTGTACATAGACATAATTGTCGATACTGAAGTGACTCGAATCCACATTTGTTTCGAGAGGCACCCTCGCAATATCCTGAAGAAATAAATGTGTGGTCCGGCATTTTCGGAAATCATATTGTAGGACCTTTCTTTATTCCTGAAAACTTGAGCGGCGGGAGGACGTAATTGGACACGTTAGAAAATACAATAGAGCCACGAATTACAGAAATAATAGAAAATGACGTTAATTAAATGAAAATTACATTCATTTACAACAAGGTGGTGTACCGCCGCACTATGTGGCTTCAGATCGACAGTTTTTGGGCACCCATTTCTCGAATCAGTGGATCGGCAGACGAGGCCCCATCGAGTGGCCGCCAAAATCACCGGACCCGAGTCCGTTATATTACTTTCTTTGGGGGCATTTGAAAAGTAAAGTTTTTTTTACGAAGCCAGATTCCATTCAAGATCTTCGTCAGCGGATTACGGCTGAATGTAAACAAATAACTCAAGACATGCTTGAAAATGTGGCAGGCAGCAGCGGTGGCCGAAGTAGTAGACCCTTCGGTCTCCTGATCAGTCGCCGTGCGCTGTGCGGGTTCGAATCCCGTCCCAGGAGAAATTTTTCTCATGGCTATGGATCTTGTGATTGTCCGTAGGTGGTAGACGGTCTCTGACTGTCGAACGCGGAGGTATCACCCGGCGGATCTCGTAGGCGGTGCCAGAATGTGTGCATGTTGCATGCTCACGTGTTCCCTCGCCAGAGTCCGTGTGGCGTTTCCCCTTTCCCCTGTATCCCGCTATAGCCCCACGGTACCCAAAGGGTGTTTAGGCCTTCGTGGTAGTTGGAATATAAAAAAAAGAAAACGTGAGGAACATATTCGAACAAAATATTATTATAATGGAGGTAGATGGACACCACTTTCAGCACTTATTACCACATTGATCTACCTCTTTAAAGTAAATTAATTTTTGCTTTAAATTTATATATTCGGAGAGTGAAATAGTCGAACTTTTTTTTCAAATAGCTTTACAACGATTAAATATATAAACTTTATTATACAAAAGTAACTAAAAACTTCATGGAAAATCTAAAAATTAAAAAATGGGGGTTTCCATTTAAAAACTGAAAGTGTAACGCAATATCTTATTTTTGGATCGCCCTGTATTGTACGGCTATAGCTGAAAAGACATCCCCCTAGAAATCAAAATTGACGTGTCCGAGTTATTCCCAAAATAAACCAGGAGAATCACAAAAGGGGGTGCGACCTTTTCATTGGGCCACCCTGTATATAAGAAAGGGATTATGCGAAAAAAAGGTTTATAACAAATATATAAAATTATTGGCAAAATCCGCAAAAAAAAAGGAAAGTGGATTCGAGGAGAAAATACGATAGGTAAGCCGAGCAATACATATTTCTGCATGTTGGCTTCATCAGGTCCGAATTAAATGCTCATATGCGACTACACAAGTAGTCACACATTGCTCATACATCCGGATACGGGTGTAATATGAGGAAACGAAGATGGGAGAGGGAACACAAACGACACACGAAGTCACCAACAAGAGCCAACCTACACATTGTAAAATAATGGACAGAGGACCTCGAATCTTCCAGGCGACATATAACCACAACCGCGAGGCCGGTTATAGCCACTTGCCGTGGTACTTCAAGCCCAAAGAATCTACAAAAAGGAAATGATCATGTGGAGAGAGGTATATAACAAATAGAAAAAACAATGGGCAATGAACCGAACAAGCAGAAGTACGTATACACTTTTCTTCTTTTTGTGGATTTTGCACATTTTGTACATTGTAAGAACCTGGCTTGTCAGATCTTTTCATCTGATAACTCTATATTAATTCAAAAAGATGCCAAAGTAACATATTGCGGACAAACATTCTATAAATATGATGCTGATCATTGCGAAAAAATACTGCAAATATGCATTATGTTTCTTTATATATGCGCTCAATGTAGTTTATATTGTGAAGCTCTTCAGTAGCTAATAAAATAGAAATAAGAATCGAAAATGCCACTTCCATATCTTGTGCAAGTTTAACTTATTTTACTTTGTCTACATAGAAATCCATGAAAATGCTTCATTTACAAAAACTAACAATATCTGACAACAGTGCATTTATAGCATGTTTCGGGGGAATTACGTCTGCAACTACCACACAAAGATAAATGACTTGGTTGTATTTCTACATGAAAATTTGTTTCATTCTGTCACAGTTTCCCCATTGTACTTAAAAAAGCAATTCTAATGATAGCTGAGTATAGTGTCCCTTACTATGGGTCTATATCATATCCTTATCCTAAAGCAATTCCAGCGAATTGTCAATTAGCCTCAATACGAAGAGATAATGCGAAATCTTTGGAAAAATGTACTGTAATCAAAACTCTCAAAATAGTCTCTTATATTATGGATTTGACGAGGAATCCCATTCATAGTTGTAGTAGTTTATTTCGTCAGCTTCAACAATTCTTCCGATAGTAATTTCCGTGTTTCACAAATTCAAACTTATCCAACATTTATTTGAGATATTCTACTGTCGAGTTTTCAAAACTAAGGTACATTTTAGGTTATAAACTCCACCTGAAGTGACTGGTGCATCAAAAGTATTGAATACCTTGAGAAAATGTGCATACGGCGGCATCGAAACAAGTGCGACCTGAAAGGCTGCATGACCCAACGTCGTAACCACCGACAGGCCAACTAGTAGTTTGAGGAAAATTCCGGTGTGGCCACGCATCGTGCCCTCCGTAGGCACTGGCACGAACGGAACGTAGCATAGTAGAGCTAGGTAGATGGCTGAAAGGGCACTCGGTCGAAAAATAACACCTGGAAAAATAAAAGATTGATATTAAGCTTATAACTTTTGTTTGACCGTGTCCAAAACTCAAAAGTGATAGGTTTACGGAATTCCCTCTACCAATTTGTTATTGTTTAGACAAGACATATTAAGCATTCGATACAAAAGTCCGATAAAAAATTAATAATGGCCCTTCCCATGCAACGCTATGACCTGTTCGTAAAGGATTATGTTTGGCCCTTCTAAGAAAAAAGTTAGGCACTAGCAAGTATAACAAGAAATTCAATGAGCTTCCTCCTCCCCCTGACAGGAATTCCTGAAGGCCCATATGATGAAGCGATTACCGACTTGTAAACGACGCTTGTCCATCGGGGGACCAAGTCGTGCGTATCGACACTCGACTGTATAGGATATTTATAAGTTTTGAGGGTACGGGGACATGTATGATGAGTGAAATATAATCAATATGTGCGTAGAATTACTGGGGTTGGAGGCGTATAAATTTAACGACAAAAAATTGAGATATGTATATCCTCCTGCAACCACTAACCCCCAATTTTCAAGCTCTACAAATTTTTTTCTGAAATTGATCAGGATCGTCTGAAACGTCAAAAACCAAAGTTTTAGCAATTTTTCTTCGTTATTGACCTTTGCCTCCGCCCCCACTGAACAGATTTACTAACTTCTAAAGTTATACGCGGTTTTAAAATTAACGGACAGACCGACTGAAATGAGCGACATGGTTTTTCGAGATGTACTTTTCATATAACATCCAAAACTATCTCACTTTCGAAAATTTGCGCGATTACAATATTTACCCGTTAGTAAGCTTGGGAAGTAGAAAATATGACAGGTAAGATATTCTATCTACCTGACCTGAATCTGGTTGTTTTCAGTGTCTGTAAGCATGACCACGTTGTTTCAGGCTCATTAGCAATCGTCAGGACAGTATAGGTCCAGTCGTTAGAGACAGACAATGAGAAACAAACAAACAGGTATGGTCTACTGAAAAACTCGTAGTATATATGCAAAGATGTGTCAAACTGTTAAGCGCCACCTATAAATACCACCAACGCTTGATACATCTTCAGCCCATAGCTGAAAATGACAGAAAGGCTACTGAACTATATATGTATATAAATAGATGTCGCCCACCATCATTAAAAGGCCCGACCCCCCGTCAGACGGGCTGAACTGAGTCTGCTTGCTTTCCGTCTCTGTAACCGTAACGAACCTTATACAATGTATGTTTTATGCTTATTAGCAATCATCAGTGCGGTCTAGCTGTTAAGCGATATCTATCTATATACCAGGTGTTTCAAAATCTACTCTTACTATTGGGATCTCGGAAGCGATAAGAGATAGGAAGTCGCTTAAATGGGGGCAAAGTTACATATTTAGGTAATTAACAAGAAAATTTCGAAAGTACTACTCGAAATAGACGAAAAAAACGACGTTTCCCAAAATCATTTTTTAATTTTTTCCTGGCTTTATTTGTGGTGGGAATTCAAAATAAATTGCACACTAACATCGCCACTTTTCCTCCTCCATAAAATTACATAATTAGAATTTCAATATGAAGTTTCATCTTTTGTCCTCCATCATTTTTTCTTATAGACTCCATATTAGATTTTTGTATAGATAGAGTTTTTAATTCTCATTCGAAAAATGTATATGTCATACATTGACTTTGCCAAACCTTAGTTATTTAAAAATACAATTTCCTAGGTATTCCTTGAAATTTATCAGATAGTAATTTGTTTCGTATACCAGATTTATCGCAAAATCATAATCTGGTCGCTGAACAATGTACAGAGAAGAGTCAGATTAAGCATAACATATTTTTGCTATTTGTTAAAATGATATTAGAAGCATAATCCAAAACTGAGCAAATCAAATAACTGGAAATTAGACAAAGATAGCTGTGTGTGAACACCATGTAAAAGATGTTAAAGTTCCTCATTGAACCAATACTGTAACTTCATCTATTTCCGAGAGCTTATTGTTTTTCCATCTTTATCTTGGATGCGCTATATACATTCTAATGGAAAATATCTTTACCACTAACTATTAGTCAACTATGGTCGATGTCGAAAAGTACCAGCATTGGTAATTTTTAAAGCTGTTAAGCTGTTTTAAAATGATAAGGATGTTAAACAACTTCAACGTTATTAACATTCCCAGAATTCTCTAACCCATCCAAATTATTTTTTGTTTTGTTTTATGGAATATTTTTGTTAATTTCTCTTATTTCTTAGTCTACCTAAGGTGACGTTAGAAACACGAAATAACGATGAGAAGACCTCTGTCTAATCTAAAGTAATAGGAAATGAGAAACATGGCCTATGAGTACTTATCTCATGATCAGAGTTGTATTCATGGTTGGTTTATTGTAACTCCACTTGTGGGGAGTTACTCGGATTTCTACAACCCTATCGACTATATATAATATGAAAAATCAATTTTGCTTAGGATTCTGAACTTGCATAGAGAATCCCGGTAGAAAGGAAAATACCAGACTATAAACTAAATGTTCTTACTTAGGATAGTAGACTAGATCCAGACCATCATTCTGATCCTGACAATATTTCATATTGCCGATAGTAAAGTGATTTCAATATGTTTAACAACATTTAGTCAAAATACTTTAAGCTACCCTACATATTAATACTGAAATGTGTAACCAGCCATGTAGATGTACAACTTGAAGTACCAATTAAATTTTTTAATTTCCTAACCGATTTTTCTTTTATTAGAAGATGAAAATATAAATGTAAAATCTTCTAATTTCTTTATTTAGAGCTAGCTGATTTTCGTTTTTTAACGAAGATTACTTGCTAATTTAATTTCTTTAAGGTACGTTTTAGTTTGTAACGCGCACTAAATGTTCTCAAACGCGTTTTCGGTCTCCCCTTTCGTATCCACTCTCAAATATTTACACTGAATGTATGCCTATCCAACGCGCGCAATATAATAGACGTAAAAGTGTGCCCACACCCTAAAACGAGGAAGACACGATGCCGACGGCCTAGGTGATTGATAAAGGATTCGATCGCCATAGTTAGAATGTCCCTATTTTCATTGCCTGGAGTGTACCCCGTAACTTCCCACTTCGCCTCCCGAACGCCCTATGAATGGGCCCTGCCCAGCCCCCATTGATCCGTGCTCTTTTTTATTATGCTTTAAAAGCTAGATGGTATTTTATTTTACATTCTACATACGAATCCATATCTATGAGGGACAAATGGGTAGGTCAACTGCAAAGTCTGGAAAATAACTCGAGCACTCCAGGAACTTAACAACAACGCATCTATCTTGAAAAAAGGATCATACGAAAGTTTCAGAAATACCACAAAATGGCGTTAAGTTGTCTCTATACTTCCCACGCTACGCTTGTTAGTTCGTAAAGGATTTTGTTTGGCACACGTTAGCCCTTCTGAGAAAAAAGTTAGCCACAAACATGTATAACAAAACATTAAATGACCTTTCTCCTCCCCTGAGAGGAATTGCTGCAGGTGCACATTATCGTTGCGATGAGCAATCCCGCGCGAATGACGATATTGGCCTTCACCATGCACAGTGCACGCACCCACAGTGTGGAAGCACGTTTGGACACCCGACTGTAAGACACATTTCTAAGGGTAAATGTACAGGGACATCTATGATGAGTGAAATATGATTATGTGCATAGAATTACTGGGGTTGGAGGCGTATAAATGCAACCCCTAACTCCTAGTAAAAAAATTTCCGAAAATGATCAGGATCGTCTAAAATGTCAAAGAACGGAGTTTGAGGGTTTTTTATTCTTTTTCATTTTTGGCATTTGTCGCCACTGGAGGAATGTTCAATAACTAAAAGCTTTTGCGTCCTTGGCATATTAGTAACCTTGTGTAAAAATTTCTTCGAAGTTCGGGATATACTTCTACAGTTATAAGCGGTTATAAGATTAGCGCACAGACTGACAGATGGAAATGAGTGACACAAAGTTACTACTATGCCAAGGATGGAAAAGCTTTGTAGTTTTTGGAAATCATTCTCGTGGCCCTGGAGAAAAAACGAAAAAAAAATCGTTCAAACTTCGCCTTTTGACGATTTAGAGCGTCCGGATCATTTTCAGAAAAATTTTTGTAGGGGTTGAAATTTGGGAGTTAGGAGTTGAAGGGGATGCCGCGCTGATGTGGAAAGGGAAAACGTTGCCACATGGTCGGTAACTACTAGTCCGTAGTTCAATATTTTCTCATAGTATTTAAACTGCGCCGAACTTAATCCTTTATGAACTGATGACGGTGTTGTGAAGGAAGTTCAGAGTCAACCCACTTGACGCCATTTTTTGTTATTTACCCTGACTTATGTAGTATTCTTCATAGTTTGTTTGGCGGTTATTATTGTTAGATAAAATAAAAACATCGCAGTGACCCCTCTCAAATGATTTTTTATTATTATATAAACATATTTTCCATAAGCGATGTTTAGCATCTCTATTACAACGCTTCTGTTTTATACTGTATACCATTGTAAGTGATCCCGACTGTCATCTTCAACCTTGTACTAAAACAGTATGGGGGTGATTTCTCCTATATAATGGCTGTGTGGAAATGCCATCTGCCCATTTCGCGGAAATTGGGTCATATTTTTAGGGTGATAACATTTAACCAAGCCTCTGCCTCAACGAGTATGTGGTCGTTAAAAATAATTTACGGATTTAGTACAGTCACTTTTTAGAGACATCGCGATTATGCCAAATTGATGCAATTCTACGTGTTTCTTACACTCAAGCAGAGCCTAGATACCGAGATTCCACAACTGCGAAATAGATTATAATTTTTATACTGAAGCGGCCGCAAAGGCAAAAACTTAAGTACCGAGGTACCGTGACTGCTAGAAAGATGTCAGAGATATCTGACTGATTGCTTAAGATTAGCGACAGTGGGGAAACATCTTCAGGCAGATTGATCCACAATGTTGAACTATGAACAAAAGATTCATCGTGTCGGCCAGTTCTCGGTGTACGGAGTTAAAAGGAATTAGA